GCATTTAGGAAATCAAAGTCAATTCAACCATACTGATAAATGGTTGAATTTAAACTTCAGATCTCCATAGAAGACAGAAAGAAGTGATATAATGCTATATTTTGAATGAAATGTCATTGCAAAAAATAATCTTATTAGGTGTTAAAGAAGTCATTTGGTGATGAAAATGGACTAAGTAACGTCTACAGATGGTTCTGTACAGAACGATTTCTGAAAAGCCAAGAAGATCTGCTGATGATGCTTCGCGTACAGGTGCTCCAAAAACAACACGCACAGCAGAGATAATTGAAGTAGAGCGTCTGATTATGGTTGATAAGACTGTCACTATTGAACATGAACTGGACATTATTTATGAGTATGTAAAATAATTATTTTAAAAAAATGTGACATGATATATTTGAGGTGCTTCGGGTGCCAATGACTTAGGTTACCATCTGCTGAATCCTTATTGTTACTTAATATGTAAGACCTGCTTCAGGTACCCATACCACGGGTTACTATGGCAACTACGGTATTGTGCCTGAAATTTTCTGGAAATATTGATAAATGTTTGGGTATACTATGTATCAAGTTTAGTGTTCTAACTTCAATTTGTTTCTGAGATAGGCCTCTATTTGTGTTACTAGTATTTGTTGATCACCCTTTGTACAGGGAATGACACCCCGAGGGGTGTACATGGCGTAATTGCTTCTGATCTTTTTAGTATCTCTGTTTCAGGGCTAGATGATGATATACCGCGTGTGTAGTTCTTATACATATCTTATATACATGTACACATTCAGCTTCATTCTGATGCTCTTCGCAACACCTGGCTTATCTAGAATTTATGATTGTAAATTAAGGGGTTTCCATGGTAATCCACAGTGGTTCAGCGCCTTGAGAATCATCCAAAAACTCCACAAGCATAAGTTGTTTATTAATGAAAATGCAAAAATGTGCCAAAAATGCAAAAAATGTGCCAGGAGCTTATTTTGAGGTTCAAAACACTTTCAAATATCAAGTCTCCTATGGTATCAAGTATCTCGTAAGAGGTAATTGCAAGTACTTTATACCGAGAGATATAATATTCCATTAAACCGGAAGTATATACATTTTAGTCAACAAATACATTGTATTTCAATATTCCAATAACGATTAATAAAAATAAAATAGCAAAATTAACACAATTATTATTAATCGTCAGGCCATCTCTTACATCGGCCGGAATCGCCTACATTGTCCAAAATCTTGTTGCTCTCATTTTCAAACGGACGCGTCTCAAATTAGATCTCCGTTGGAATTATCTCCGAATCCTCAGAGAACCAATCTCTCAAAATCAAAAAATAAATGTCATTTTATTTGCGGAGTCTTCGGCCCTGGCATTATGTTAATCGTAAACTAGATCGCAAACACGACTGACAAATGCGATAAAGAAAAATGGCCTCAGACCATATATGGTTTCTCCACGGAATCAAGAGAATTCATTAATAAGATGAACTTACTCAGCCAATCATTACAAGTTATGAGGAAGATTCTCGGATTCATTAAGAAGCCGGAAGATGTATAATGGGAAATAAACAGGGGAGTTGCAAAATTATATGAGATTCTTTTTTAACAAGTCTGTGAAAATGTGTAAGTAAAATGTTCCATGCAACACGTCTATCAATTCCAGAAGGCTGTGAAAATATTCACGTAAAAAGTTCCATGCATAAAGATTTCTAGCAATGAAATCTCAAGGGTTTATAAAATTTTTTAGTGACTTTCCCTCACGAACGACACAATCTTTTCAGGAACTAGAAAAACATGACATAAATAACCAGGAACTAGTAATTGCTTCTTTTTGGCAAAATATAGATGAACGATGATGTGACATGTCACCATATTATAAATCCCCCTTAAATAGAGTTCCTATAACCATAGGCATTAGCCTATACACTTTGCGCTATCTGAAAAATCCTACTTTCCCTGTGAAATGGCAACTATTCTGAATTTAGTAACCTTCATGAGCAGTGTCCTAAGCCATTAAGGCCATTGTGAGTAGCCATCTTGAAAATTCCTTCTAGAGCAGAGTCCATCGTCTACGCGGAATCAGTATATAAAACGTTAACCACACAACTGGAATTCGAGTCTTTTTTATGAAAAATGGCGGCCATTCTGAAATGAGCGGCCATATTGAAAATACCTTCTTTACCAGAGGTCCTTTGCCCATATGATATTATCCTATATTTCAAGGAGTATTAGCATTTGAGTGATCGTCCGGACAAACGAATGGAGGGAAGAATGACCGGCTGGACGGGTTCTCTTAATTCCTATCGAACTCGTCCGTTGGTATAATTTTGATTCTATGATAAATGGTCTAATATAGGATCGAAGATTTTATTCCGTTCATTTGTAAAATACCGAAATCGCAGAGCTTACAAATCGTCCACATGTACATTGAAATAATTTTCCGGTGAATTTTCCTTCTGAACAACGATTAACGATTAGTATGGTTTCATTGCATTTCATTGAAATAACATTCAGGCGATTTCCCTCCCGGGCAACTCGATTATTTAAGGAATATACAGGGTGTCCCGAAAGTATGGGGCCCCCCCTAGGCAGACATATACCAGTGCCGTCATAGTATGTGTTATACATCATTTTAAAGCTCATCCAAAGTTACATTGATTCACCAAGTATCATGGTTCAACTCTCAAATGTGAAAAAATTACAGACATTTCAAAATTTAGTGTTTGGTCAAAATTAAGTTCAATTTTACACCAAATCACTAGTCATTGTGTCCTCCCGGGCCATCTTAACAGCAGCAATTTTTTTCGGATCGGATGGATATTGAGTTGGAAAAGGAGAACGGTGAGGGTAGAAATTCTAAGGAAACTCTTCTAAAGTGCCTTAACAGGTTTTAAGAGGGTTATAAAATTCCACACCCCTATTTGAAGGGCTATTAAGGTCATATCTGAAAATAATTGCTGCTGTTAACATGGCCAAGGGGGGACTCATTGACTAGAAATGTGGTGTAAAATTGAACTTTATTTTGACAAAACACTAACTTTTAAAATGACTGTAGCTTTTTCCCATTTGGGAGCTAAACCATGATACTTGGCAAATCAATGTAACTTTGGATAAACTTTAAAATGATACATGACACATACTATGACGACACTGGAATATGTCTGCCTAGGGGGGGGGGCCCATACTTTCGGGACACCCTGTAGATTCAATGGTGCATGCCATAATAGTTGACTTAATATTTAATTCTGTTTACTGTTAAAAGATCGTAATCGGGCTCACGAAAGCGATATAGTGATAGTGATTTACTGATAGTGATGAACAGCTAGAATCTTCAGGACATCATTCACTTGACCTTTGAAATATATCTATGAAATATGAAATTGTATGGTTTCAATTATCAAAAGTTATGAGCATTTCATGACGACGCACGGATTTTTTGGACCAGAGGTATATTACTTCACAACTCTGTTTACACGCTATACATGATGTAAGAGTCAGCACATTTCTAGTACAAACATGTGAAAAAATAATTGCTGCCTGTACATGGTGTTCATGAAATATGGTAAACGACCAATTTTGCATCCAATGACTAACATGAGTGAATGAAAACAACGGCCAACGGCCTCAAGTCCTTTGCTTGAGGTAGGTTAAGAAAGAATTGGTATCGATATGGCGAACTGAATTGAACACATGTTTTTCTTAAACCAGTCATCAAAAGATTCTAAAAAATTTTCACATCGTTAATTTAATGATCATATATTAAATGGCAACAATCTAATTTGAAACAAAATGACATAGAGACAACGTGATTAGGTCTCTTAACACTGTAATTGTACATAGGAAAGTTTGGTTTATTTAAAAAAGTATGTTGTTAATGAAATAAAAGGCTTACTTTGATTTTTATCTATTTTTGCATTTTTGTTTTAATTTTTCGAATACCTTTTGTTAAATGAACCAAATTTTCCTTTGTATAACATAGTTATTTAAAATGTGTCCAGTAAAAGAAAATATTATATGCGCAACACAAGAAAAGATATTTCACTTTTTGTGGTTTTACAACATGGGGTCTATGGGGAATCTCCCCGACCTAGAAGTCACATTTTCAAAGGAAATTAAATTTTCAAAGTTGATAAACTCTTTTCAAAACCCCATTTTTCGATGTAATTTTATATGTAGATTCCAAATATGACATCAGTTTGACTGAATTGTGAATTTTAATGACGTAAATCAAGATTATTTCTACTTGCATCTTGGATATTGGAGACCTATTTTATTTTCAGCTACACATAAATATGATGGCCATCATGGTCTACATCTGCACAAAAAGTGAACAAATATACTTTGGTCATACAATGTTTTGTATACTAACAAGATTGGATAAGCGAAATACCCAACCTGGTCAGAGTCTCTAACTTTCTTCTTGAACACCATGTATGATCTTATATATAAATTGTCTGCAATAACATAAATTATACAAGCTATTCAAAGGCCAACAAAACAAGCACACACTCGCCTATAGAGTAGTCATCGTAATTTAAGCAGGTATTTTTTAGAAAAATATTAAACATCAATTGATCAGATTCGGAGGAAATATCTAATCTGAAAGTATAATGGAATGGAGTTGGAAAGAATATATCCAAACGTGTTCGGTCGTAAAGGGTTTAACAGGTAAGTTCCATTTATTGGCAAAAAGACACCACGTTCGTTCGTTGGAATCTATGTAAAATATATTTAAGTTTGAATTTCACGCTTGTCGAACAATAGCCTTACATGATTAACACACATTAAAGCTTCATTCTTCATTTCCCACTTTTTGATGAAGTACTTTGTCATTAACATTGATATCCTTACACTGTATGCTGTAATTTTCAAAGATCGGATGATGTCGGACTCGGAAACCAATGTTCTAGTTATTGTTTGTTGCACTTCTCGCGATCGGTGGATTGATATTGAAAAACAGACTAAAAGCTTAGCAAATATCAAGATTACAAATGATCTGCAACAAAAGCAGAGTCAACACGTTGATAACTCGGCAACAAAGTAATGGATCTCAATGATTATGGCAACCAATTTGCCTGTAATACTCTAACCATCGCTCCAGCAAAACAAATTAGTTGGGTGGGAATGGTTGATTGGATATTTCTAATTATGAATTCTAGATAGCTCGACGCTCATAGATACGAGCAGTAGTTGAAGTGTTAATATATCGTATATAGGTTTCAGGCTCTGTTATTAGCTGAAAATTAACATCGGTCTTCATTGTCGTTGTAGAGACAGCATCCAACAAGAAGGATTTGATATCGGCTGTGACCATGGACACCATGAAAGAATGGATCGCTATGAAATGTAACAAGACGAACAAATCGCCCACAAATCAACAAAAACTCTCTCCGGTGAGGACTCAATTCGCTCAAGTTGTGACACCTGAAAATATCCCCGACTTTATCATACCACCAAAGGTTAACTATTTAGCAACAACTCCGGAAGAGGTAGATCACCCCCAACAATTCTCATTTAATGGTATAGAAGACACACAGCAACCATTCAATGATTTTGAAAAGACTTCGTACTCTAACAATCTACAACTCCCATCGCGGATGAATTTGCCAACTACAATACGGAAGTATAGATCAGCCCCGCCATCTCCGTGTAAGACAAGCGAGGCTTATATGATTAGCGAGAAAGGAACACTATCCGATGGCCATCTTGAAAATCTTGATATTTTTAGTGAAGACTCTTTTTCAATTTCCGCATTAACTATTCCATATTTACGTACGAAGACATCATATGGGTTCTCTACGTTATCAGAAAGCCCACACACTCGTAGAAAGGAATCACTGTTTCACAATGGCACTGTTTCGCGTCCAATGAAATCCCTGAAAAATGACAGGCGTGAGTTCACATCATGTGACACTGTCGGTGGTGTTTCTGTCGGGAAGCTTTCTTTACCCATAGGGCATCCCTTAGTGAGAGCCGCCTCTTGTAATTGCAGACCAAGTTCGTTGCTTGCTCCAAAGGCTCCCAGGAACATAGGTTCGGATGGTAATGGCAGTGATAGTAGTTTAGGAAGCACTCCAAGTAGACTCTCGATGTCACCGGTAAGTTCCACACATAGTACACCAGAAATTCCTCGGAAGCAAAAGGTTAATAAGATTGCTTCAAGAACCGAGCGATATTACTACAGAAGAAGATCATCATTGAAAAATCTAGAAAGCGGTAAACCCGCAGAAAAATGCCAGTGTGGATGCGGCGGTGTTGTATCCGACTGTAGCTCTGTGGAGCCCAGTCCTCTACAGGTCCGAAGGAAAAGCAATGACGGTTTATCAAAGCGAGATACGAATCATATTCAAAGTCAGCTGAACGCACATGCCACGTCCACGTCCATTCAGAAAAGTGCGTCTCAGAACTCAAAACTTGAATCGGGACTCAACCGACTTACAAGCGTCGAGGATCGTTCAATCGCAGATCGCGGGGAGTTGAAATTTGCGGTGAAGTATGATCCTAAGATTGAAATACTGACTGTGAATGTTCTCAAAGCCGAAAATCTATCGTTAAAAAATAAGAGTGAGCAAGTTGTCAACTCATGCGTAAAATGCTACCTCCTCCCGGGGAAACAGCAGAAACAGGTAACACACGTCATACAACAGACGAATAATCCTATTTTCAACCAGCAGTTCATATTCACGGCCATTGATCGTGAGGAAATCGCCAACATGAAACTTTGCCTGCGAGTGCTCCATAAGACCCCAGCGTTAAAACGCAGTGAATTCATCGGAGAAGTTGTGCTACCTTTGAAATCCACACAAGACGAAGAAGAGGTCAGATTATGGAGGTATCTGCAAGCACACAATGATACACAGGTATTGCTATACTGAACAAGGGGTTAATTTCCCGAGGTATTTAATTTCCCGATTTCCGATTGATAATTCACATAATTCAATTAAGAGCTCTGATTAATACCACTGTAGTATCTGCTTATGTTCCCTATTTAATATTTGGCCAATGTTGTGGGTATTCATCAAAATCCCATAAAAGGTATAATATCCCCGAAAAACAAAGAAGGTATAAAAGATCCCCAAGATACATCCCGCTTAAACAGTTTAATTGGCAAAAAGAATTTTGGAGCACGCGTTCAAGTCTGTTTAATTTATGTTTGGCAATTTTAACGAATTCATCCAATTAGCATTTTCAACTGTCCCCATTAATGTCCTTTGAATAATATACTCGACTTCGCCTTGTGCCAATACAGAATTTCTCGAGCAGAATATATCCTGTATTGCACTTCAAATCATTCAATAACGTATATAAAGGTTATGCACTGGGAGGTTTTGGATATGGGGTTTATCCAGAGGGGATGAACCCAATATCCAAACCGACCGTACATAACTGCTTTATCGTATACCAAGTAGAGTTTTCAGGGTCATATGGCCATTTCAATAGTACAAGGTGTAAAAGTAAACAAATCATTCATATGCAAAGTCAATTTATTGCATTACCGGAAGCGGGAAGATATGCACCGAAGTGGGAGATATGGCGGGAGATATGGAGGTTCTGGATATGGAAACCTCAAAATCAGGATACGGAATATATCTTACCAACATATCTCCCTAAAACTCTACTTGGCATAGGATAAATAGGGGTTATGCACTGGGAGGTTTTGGATACAGGGAATATCCCGAGGGATATTCCATGTATCCAAACCGACCGTGCATAACTGGTGTATCTCATACTTGAGTGGGTTTAGGGTAGATATAACCTTTTCCACCTTTTTCAAATGACAAGATATTTATATTTAACATTTTCGTAATATTCTTTTTGTTGAATATAATGAAATTGTAACATTTAAACTTAAAAAATTAAATTTTAGAATTAAAAAATTAAAACTTTTGATATTTAAACTTTTTTAAACTTTTGAAAAATTCCCGGGAGCGGGATGGATATATTATATCTGCCCGCATTTGGCCTGGAGCGGGACATATACAATATATCCTGCCCGCTCCTCAGATACGATATATATTCCCGGGTGATATCTACCCCAAACCCACTCAAGTATGAGATTACATACTAATTCGCTTTCTGATATGTTTGATGCATTTCCACTTTCTGCTTCTGGTTAGAAATGATTATATTTGTATTTCGAAATAAGTTAATGATACAGTACAAACATCATAATGATTATTTTTAGATAAGTTGTGTTAGATTAGAAAAGTTGTTAAACGGTCTGAGACAAAACTTGTTCAAAAGTCGGGGCATCACCTATTTTTCTAGTCTAAGAACATGGTAATGCAAGCCTCGGATTAATATTTAGTACCCCTAGTTGTCAAATATCTCTGATATAAATGATAATCAAGAGTTATAAGCAACCTTCTATCGTATCGTGGTATGGAAGTATAAAATGTTGTATGGTTTATTACCGCAGGGGGTGCTAATGGTTTAATGACTTCAGACATTGCGCTAATCTGATATGACGTGCTTTCATTTTTCACTTTAGTATGTATCCGTTGTACGGTGGTATCGCGTCTGATTAATATAAAGGTCGTGTATAGACTAATATGTATTAATCATTTGCATGGACACTCACCAATTCCATATATCAGGTCTTTTTGTGCTCAGTCTGCCACTTATCGCATCTTCGTTTTTGAATAATTTTAATGATAAGAACATGATTCAAGGCTATGATTGCAAAAAATGTTTGCAGCGCACATATTTCACCTCCCCGAAGTTGCGCAATTAACTGACGCAAGACTAAGAGTACAAAGACTACAAAGTCCATTTCACTGTTTTATTGTGTCAGGAAAAATATATTCCTATTGTACATAAATGACATTTGTTTATCTTGGATTGCTTCTAGTTTGGCTAATAAAGTGTGTGGCCTCTTTTTTTCTCTGCCATAGTATTTTCAAAAAGATTAACATGGCTGAAATTCTTTAAATTACAAGAGGGCACAGGCTTATTGCACAAAAAACTAAATAATCTGAAATATACAAATGTCATTAATGTACATTATGAATATACCTTTCCATACATTATTGCACAATGGTCTCCTGATTTCTTATTTTTTGGGTTCTACTGACCAATAAAACAGTGCAATGGGCTGTACACACAACACTTTTTTTCGGTTGTTTAAAAGTTGACCTATTCTAAAAACAGATACGATATCTCAAAATTGCTGGAAACATGTTAACATGAAAAGCGATGAAAAGCAAGGATCAATTAACTCTGAAGAATGAAATTGCTCGTAATGCTATATCGACTTGAATTTCTTATTACTCTGGCAGATGGGGCCCCTTCATCTAGAGTACCTGCATTTGTATTAATACACGACGCATAAGCATATATGTCTTTTAAATATAGTAAGAGTTTGCGTATATTGAGTATACTATAAACTAAGCTATACCTTTATCCTTAACATCGTAATAAATTATACAACTTGCAGAATTAAAAATAACAACATTTAGAAATAACTACATATATTTTTTCATTTACATATGTTGCTACGATTGACAATTAGAAAATGTTTCTTTACGTATTACATGTTCCATATATTGGACACTTATATCTTAATAGTGTATAGTTGAGTATAATAAACTTTCGTTATTCGATTGGATGTGTTAGATGCAGCATCTATTTAATTGCCCTTTTGCACTTTCCAAGTAATAGATGAATACAATTATTTGAATAATTGCTTTGCGAAGTAGTTGAAATGATTTCGATGCAATTTCCCTTTTCTGCTGTGAATAAGTAGTATACGTTTAGCTGAATTCATTGTTTGATTTGAATAAAATTGTTTTGCACAGTGTGTATACTTCATAAGATTTTAAAATATGCTTTGAGTTTGTTTGACGTAAAAAAATACGAGGGCCGATTAGGTTTCCAAAACAATAAAATTTATACATCATAAGATGTATTTATTTTTATTGAATTATATCGACAAAATTTCATTCATGCAATTGGTCTATCTATGAATTTTAGTATCAAAGACAGCCGAAAGAGACATACTTATAGAATAATCTGCTAATTAAACCTGCTCTCCAAGCATTTGGTAAGAAACTTTTTGAAAGGACCTTGTAGTTGAGGTTCTTAACATTAGTACTTATGAATGGTTCGGGCTGTTCTATCGTAAACTATAATTTATCTATTCTTTGAATTCCTTGGCAAATAAACATCCTCATAATTCCTCAAATATTTTATGCAGATCGATATGTTTTTATAACTTTACATTTGTAAATATTTGTCACTCGCTCACTATTAGGAAACGTTGACGTGTTCTTTAATTCGAAATCAATTCAGTCTACAATAAGCAAATATTGCAGACGGGGAATACAATCCTGTGATGTTGTACGATTCCGTATCATTAATATAAGTTCTACTTGACTCTGCAATGTAGAAACAATCGGTGAAATCTATTATTTCCTGAGTTATATTGCATAATATATTATTACCAAATTGAAGCATAATACAAGTGCAAATTGTACAAGGTAGGCCTAATTACAATTGCCGCTTCAATGAGACGGTATGGCTGACTCAATTCTCGATTCTCGAAACCTCGAAGTTAGGATTTTTCCTTATTTCACGAGTTGTAGGCAGAATTTCCACGTTTTTTCATACAAACGTGTGTCAGTATCATATTTTAGTAACCAAACGTTTAAAAAATAGTTTAGAATATGATAAAATTATCGATATAGTATCTCACTTTTGTTACGTAAACGGAACTTCAAAAACGATTAAAATTTGCACTTCAATCCGGTTCCGTTTACGTTATAACACAACACGTGAAATAAGGAAAAAGAAAACTCGCACCTTCGAGTTTTCGCCATTTTAGATGGCAGAGTACAGTACCAGTGAAATGATTGAAACTCAAGATATATCCCTAAAATATCCCATTTTTATCCATAACAGCTTTCAAATTACACCATTAACAGACTGTAACAAAGCTTCTTTCCTAAGATTGGAAGGCTTGAAAAATTACCAAGCGGAATGCTTTACGTAGGCTAAAAGGCTGCATACACCTAAAGATAATACACCATAAGACAATCTATCATCATCAAGTTATAAATATGTGCAATTTGTTGTTTCAAGAGCTAATATTTGTAGGAAAGAATGCTTGCATCAAAGTAAATTAATGGTGCAGGTGCAGGTTATTTTGAATTTTCAACAATTTTGATGGTTAAGAGCCCCTTGCTTTAATACTGATATATAGTAATGCTTCGGTCACATTTGATCCACGGCAAATGTACGGCGGCCATACCTTCCCAAAACCGAGAGAAATATAGCATAAAATGTAGAGGGATAAGCAATTTGATGTTGATTCTCTATCGAAGTCGAGCAAATGTGACCAAGGCTTAAATTAAACTTAACGACGTTTGTAGTTTTTATTCCTGAATGTATATTTGTTTGAACATCATCACAAGCTAAGTTTAATGTTAGAAAGAAGAAAAACAATCTGACATTTTGAATAGGATATTTTTATTAGTTTTAATATAATTATTAATAGTTGTTCAGCTGGCGATATTGATTCACAAATCAACAAAAAGTTGATGGCTAATTGAATTGACAGTCTGAAATTTTGTATATGTAGTTTTGAGACTAATGATACGGTACGGTGTCATCAATTCAGAAACTCGGAAATCGTTGCTTTTCTATTTCCTATTAATTGTTATAAATTAAACAATTGACGTCAAGCAAAGTGATTCATATATGCTTCCCTAATATAATACAATTCAACATTTATTATAGCCAGTAGTGTGGAAATTATTCGAGGTTCATGTTAGAATTTTTTCCCAACTTACGAGAGGTCGGATTTATAACGTTGATATCTATCTTAAAGTGGTCCATTAAATTCTAAAAGTTAGTCGAATTTTTAAACTTGTAAGTTGAGTGTGAAAGCATGAAAGTGTGTACACAGTCATATTGCATACGTACCCCATGCATCATACTTATAATTCACATAATATTTTTAATACTAACACAACTTTCTGACGGAAACAGACGGTTCTTGTCAAGAAAACATGTGCACTTTTGTGCAATTCGTTTCAACATTAGAATATCGTATTTCCGTCAGTTCAGCGTGACAAAAGAAACAGTAGTATATGACATAATCAAATGGAATTGACCTCGAGATGGGCAGAACAGCGCGATATTTAGACCTCTGAGCAGTAATACGCACGTCCATTTCCATTTCGATATGTTTACGTAAAGGTACACCTTTCAATATCATTGCCAAGGTCGATGTCTTATTTATCTATTTTTACTTTTACTTCAAATTGTATAATTGAATACCAAGATAAGTAAAAGAAAATACCGAATTAGGCAAGGCTGACTTTTCAGTTAATTACTTCACCATATTAATATATTTCATCAAGGAATGATTGGTGAACAACTGATCCCCGGGGATTGATTACAATTTGAATTATACATTTGGAAACGTTTCGTCCAATGTATCTAATGTGCAACTGTTTAAAAAATCAAAATAAAAAAAACATATTATTTGCATCATGAGAAATCACGGCCTTCTATCGGTTCCTCTCTCGAAAGATTAAAACCAGAAAGATGTGATGAGTATCAGAACGTAACTTACATTAGCAATACACCCAACCTTGAGACTATCTGAGTTCGCAAGTTGTTGATGAATATTAATGCATATTGAAATTATAATAACAATGGATAAGGTTTAATCCGCGTTTCCTAAAATATTGTTTTTTCAATGTTCTGATGACCTTGATATTTATAAACTATACCTTTAATGAATAAACCAATTTTCCCATTCTAGCTGAGTAACAGAATCAGTTAACATTATCCTTCAGATCTATTTATCTCAACAGGAGTATTCAGATAAAAGGCAATGTCTTATTTATGGGTGATATAACTCATTATATGAACAAGACCTCGTTCTTTTAAGACTTGCTAATATGTTGAACATAGGCTGTCTTGTAACTGATGTATTATATCCAATGTTATTTTATGACTTTAACTTTATTGTCGTTTTTATTTGCAGGAGTCGGGTCAATTGAAAATTGGGCTAAACTTTGAGCCAAAGCACGAACGTCTAAGCGTTTCTCTGCATCAGGCAACTGGTTTATCAAAAAGCCAAATCCGAGGAAATCCAGGTAATTTTATGATAGTATACTCTTGTTTGTTAAGGTCTAAACAGAAATCTGAGTTGCGAAAATTTTGAAGTTAAATTTTTTTAACACAAGCTGAAATGGTATATGAATGAGAAAATAACTAAACAAGAACTTAAATCATACAGGGTGAGTGAAAAAATGTAGCGCAGACAAATTGAACATATTTCCATTGGTCTATATTCAAATGAGCGCAATATTCAAATGGCCGTGTTTCACAAAATGCTCAAAATGCTTGTCTCGTCTCTCGAGTCTAACTTAAGCCTAATGTCTGCAACCTTTTTTCATAACACTGTCGCAAAGGGTGGGGTCACTTAACTTTCATAGAGCATGTTGGAAAGGAAATTCGATATGCTCAGTGATTATTCATCAAATAAAGCAAAAATGACCACTTTCTACAAACATAGAAACAAAGCCACTATCAATATTTTTCATTTTGAAAAATCCCCAGGGATAAATTCTGGGGCTTTATCGGGTAAAGGCATGTTTCGGTATTTGAAGAGCACGTTGTAAAATGGCCATTAAATCGTGATCACCATATTTGGAATAGAGCAATGGTACTTAGGATAATGAAGAACATTGAACAATGTTCAGATAGTTGTACCATTTGGTCAACATTTATCAAATTTACTTAATTTTTGGCGATACAAACAAGGTTCAAGTAATTTAAAACTAATTGAATCAGGGGGAAGTCGATTCAAACATTTGTCGCAACCCTGATTTTAGAAGCATGTAACATTAATCAAATGAGTATGAAAAAATATTGTAAATAATTGTTCCCTGCGTTTGTTTCTTTCTTCTATGCCATTAATGTTAAACCGCTTTAATAGTGTCTAAAATTGTTCCCCCATTTTGTAATGACAAAGTGTCTCAAACGAAACTTAATGCACCTGGGAAACCTGTTTCGAGATGTTTGATTTCTCTCTGAAAACCACTTACGTTTAATTTTGTACTTTGAAGAACTATGACAGTATCATTAGATGCTCATTAATGTTGGAGTTTTACAATATTTGCATATCTTAGTATTTTCCCTTTGGCACTTGAACAAACATATTTATCTGCATCTAAATTAAATCTTGATATATCGTGTCTTATCTATTAAATTGATTGCACGAAATATTGATATTGAAATATTAGTCAGAAAGAAAACATATCAACTGGGATTATTTCACGCCACTCCTTCGCGAAGAAAATGGATGTGCTATATTTTGAAATTCTTGTGAAAAAGTAATAGTCTGCGAATTCCTTGTATCAAACTGTAGCGACATTTTCAAGTAAAGCAACCATATTAGATATGACATTCATAAAACATTCGTCATCGGCTTCGGCATATTCCGCTTCCGTCGGATACACCTGATATCTGCATCGTATGACATAATAAGATGATTGATCTGCGAAATTGGATCTTACAATTTACCTAGGTGATTTGTTGGGTAATACCTGGAAATCCTACGTAATAAATTAGATAATAAAACATAAAACTTGAGAATGTAGATCCTTGATACAATTTTATCATCGTTCCTTTAGTGCATACAATGCGCCTTGATTAATTAATATAGATTGATAGTCCTCGACGTACCCGATGTAAGCTCAGATTTAACGGCCTATGAATGAGATGAGATAAACTGTGTCAATATGACACGGATGCAGAGCTAGATGACGGTGAACGACGTTAGCGTTATCGAAATGGCAGACTAAAAATTAATGAATTTATTTTTTAAAATGTCAGTTTCTGTAGAAATCTTACTAAGATTAATATTTCATATCTATTTCAAAGATTATCCTTTGATACAATGAACTCAAAATTGGAAAATGAGTTGAGTATTTCCGTGACGATCACCAAGCACGGTTGACCGTAACACATATATTTTTTTCACACGCCAAGACAAATAAACGTATGATCGTCAGAGCACCATGATGAATTTTCTGAATGTGATCATATGTCATTTAAATTAATGATTCGAGGCAAATGTAAAATATTGATCCCGAGAAAACTAGTAAATCTAGCTATTTGATGAAGAACTACTAACCGTAGTTCATGATATATAATGTAGCCTACGTCATAATTTAGAATCGAGTTTAATGAATTAGGACATTTGAAATGAATTCGAATGACCTGCGTTTTGAACAATTTTACATAACCAAGTTATTTAGTCCACTTCTTTTTGGCGTTAACGATCATGTAGGCGACGGAGTTCAAAAACATTATATATAATTGGAAATCGGGTAAACATTCTACAAAGATATTAAATTGCTGTCTCTGATCCCTATGTCAAGGTGACGAACTAACAACCAGGTACAGCAGATTTGCATAACCAAGTAATATATAATCCACCTGTTTTTGACGTTAACGATTGTGTAGGCGATGGAGTTCAAAGACATTAAATATAATTGGAAATCTGGCAAACATTCTACAAAGATATTAAATTGTTGTTTCAGATCCCTATGTTAAGGTGACTGTCCTACAGCCAGGTACAGCAGAAACTAAACGGCAAACAATGCCGAAGAAGAAAACCTGCAGTCCGATCTTCGACGAAACATTTCGATTTATCGTGTCCCCCAAAATCGAAGACCTCAAATATACATCAGTGAACATTGCAGTGTACGATCATGAATTGCTAAAAAGTGATTATGTGCTAGGGGAAATCAGATTGGGATTTGGGTCGTGTTTAGAATCGGGGCAGACCTTATGGATGGAAGTTCTGGAAAATCCAGGCTCAAATTACGTCAAATGGCTGACATTGAATAAGATATCGTACAAAGACTGTTTATATTAAGTTCTAATTTGTTTTATTTTTGATTGTTCTAAGTGTAAGTATTCAGTGATCCACAAAGACAAAATAGACATGTCCTTACACGTTGTATGTAAATTGTGGTTAATTGTCTATTCTATACTATTTCATAACTTTAAATTATGACAAGATTTTTTCCAGTTATAATTGTATGACTCGTTTGTATTAAATATTTTATATTTAATATAATATATATATAATATATACATTTAGACGTCTTTGAGTTCAGGTGTTGATTCTATGTATGTGTCATATACACATAACTGCTCAGGATGCTACAATCTAATTAATGACGAAAAGCACTCTCTCAAACGAGTTACCGAAACGGATCCGTCTGAGTAACAAAATGGCGTAACCTCGATTTTTCTTTCCTTATTTTTTGTTAGTCGTAGTAGAATCACCTGTATCTGTTTGTATGATGTATTATGAAATAAAGGAAATATAAAAATTAAAAAAAAATCACCTGGACATTTTTATCACAAATGTTTTTTCAGTATCATATGTTTAAAACATTTACACGTTTGCAAACCAATATTTCAGAAAACGACATAATTATTGCAGATATAATACCCCGTTATTATCACGTACAAGCGGAACGAGGTTAAAAGGGCAGATCTTGACCGTTTTTGTTTCCATAACAAAAGTGAGGTATTACATCGATGAGTCTTTTTAAGTATTTATTCGCAAACGTTTAGATTTTCTCTTAAACATTTGATACTGAGACACATTTGTAATAAAAATATGAAAATTGTTCCAACAACTCGTGAAATAAGAAAAAAAGAAAAGTCGCAACTCCGAGGTTCCGACATTTTGTTACCGAAACGGATTCGTTTCGTGGTGGTTTGAAAAAGGCTTACATCAAGCCACTGTACTGCACTCGTGTATCCTGTCCATTCTGATTCCGTCTAATTCATTGCATAACAGAGGGAGCATTGAGGCACAGGGACTTGTTACAAGAATTATGGACGGACAATGCAAGACAAAAGATTAAAATGGATGATAGGCTGTCATTACATACCCCATGACACCATTGTACTAATTTCAGTATCACTTAATACACCGGAACCACTGTCGTATTTCCTAAGACTTGAGTTGGAAATGTCATATTGAATAGAAGTGGCGACACTGTGGTGCTATTATTTAGTATCTCCTCTGTCAGAGTGTGGTTGATGAAAACGTCTGTTTGTAATGCTGGGAGCACAGAGGTTGATAATGCCCGTGACAATGACGTCACATAACCAGGTGTAGGTATACTGTTTGTTGCGTTTAGAATCTGAGACAAGATGTACAATGCAAAAGCAGTTTCATTCAGTCTGGAATCTAAAATTTCCTGAAATATCTCGATTGCATCCGATACATTTTTGAATTCTGGGCAGAAGCATGGCAGGGCCGGCCTTGGGGCCAGGCCAGATCCGAGTTTCAGCAGTATTATGATATAGGCTAATATCGATGCTGCGACCTGAAATCATAAAAAGATATTGCTATACACGAAGCCGAATACAAAGGGTTATGTGGCCGCGTTCGGTCGTTAATCATTTTATACGGGACTATTAATACAATATAAAAGGAAATGCCATTTTTGATCATGAAACTAGGAGAATGAAGCGGAAGATATGTAGATATCGTTCTCGTTGGTAAGCGCATTGTACTATTCTCACTTTGAAATTAGAATGCCAGGCACTACAGAACAGTGTTGTCATGGTGAGCCCTAGATATCAACCTACACTTGAACACGGGCACACACATAGTAACCTACTAATATTACCTGGTAACCAGGTGAGTTCCAGTGAACATGCGCATGATTTTTGAGTCAACAGCTGTCCTTCTTGGTAAAGTGCATATGATGTACACAAGCACTTTTACCAGATTCTGCTCATTAGTACTAAGTACTAACTGGTCGTGCTTATCAAATTAAGACAAAATAGATATATTCAACGCTCCCGGGAATTTGCAAAGAAAATAATTTCGCTCGGTGTAAGTCAAGGTTAAAACCATGGTAGACATGAAATGAAAGTGAAAATTAATCGACAATGTGCACATGAATTGGCCGTTGCCAAATAACCACCGCTGGTGGCTAATTTTGTCCAGGTATAAATTGGAAAATAAATTGAGCAAAATTCTTAATATTTCTTGGTGAAGTGTCAGACTATGTCATGCACCAGCACTAGACATTCCCAATCCATAGATGTGGTCTACAAGGCATCATGGCAGTGAACTGCTTCAGTAAAAATGAATCGTGAATGTAGTGTACCTCGGAATTAATTCCAGGGACGTAATTAATATCAGTTGGATAGCTCATGCCAAAGCTTAGGAAACGATATGTAATATCAAAATATTAATGTTACAACTGTCATATCTTAACGTATTTTATTTATTTTGGAATTACCTACCGAGACCAAAGTACTTCTGTCAACGTAAAACAGTCGCCAAGCCGTGAACCCAATTTTCCCACTGGTGGCCTTACTAAGAAACACGCTGATCTGAATCATTTTACCGGTCGACATACGGTCATCAGTCAAATTCATGTCGTGTATATCTGCCGCTGGAGAACAACCCTGAAATGAAAATAATATATTTTTACAATATATCTGGGGATCTTGATCGATTTGGTGAGACATTTGACCCAAGAATTTAATGGTCCGAACCATAATCTCGTTCAATGGGACAAAAGTCAATTAAATGCATATCTGTTGATTTAAATCTCTTAGTAATACAGTATTTCCAGCAGATTCCTACATTTGATACATATACCAGTTAAAGTTAAATGTGATAAGACCTCGTAATGTACACGTATGTCCTTAAACAGGAATGAATCTCTTTTTAATTGTAGTGACAGCATCGGCAATATAAGAAGATAACAAAAAGAAACCTTTTGACCGACAACAAGATACTGAACTAAGTATTTTTCTGTTAATGCTTTTACTACCCGCATCAACTATTTATCAATCAGGTTAGGTAGATTATTTCTACTTCGTACAAGGTGACCCCAAAAAACAACTCTTGAATAAATCGACTGCGACTTTAATTCACAATGTACAAACTAAATGGAGTTTGGCACGAGTGAACATCAATCCCAGCTTAGACTGGAAAGTTTCATATATAAACGTTCAAATACAACTTAGTTAAGTTAAAATCATTCCAAAATAAAGGAAAAATATTTTTGAGGTCATCCTGTATTTTCAAGATTTATATACTTTCGATTTGAATTGGTTCAAACTTGAAATGTGTTACCGTTTTTATTTTCATATAAGAGCGAGTAGTTTTAATGAGTCATTTTAATTACTCAATCACATTCTCTCCCGGCCGTTCTCTGGCTAACGTTAATCCATAAAAAAGGTGTAAGAAAAAGAGAACTCACCGATGCATTAAGCATTGCTGCTGCACCCGTAACCATATAGAGATACAAAACCGAAGAAAACAACCAGTACAGTGCCATGGCGATGGTGATTGACCTATCAAACTGTTCATATATCAACGTATACAGCAAGAAGCACACGAGGGGGATATTGGTGATGTACACGATCAAGATGTAAGCGTTGAACAGGGCGTCCGCCTTATCGGTGATCTTGCAGATTTTGAAGTGCTCGTGTCGGAATGATTCCATATTACCCTCGAAAACTCTCGATGCAGTGGTGGCCAAGGAAAACTTTTTACTGAAGTGAATGAATTCTTGACGTAACCCTAAAGAGAACATCACACAAAGGGAGATTGGAAATGCCCACGCCATTGAGCTGAAGAACTGGACCACCATGAAGATAATTTTCGCTGCGAGAGGAACATTATAGCCGTCGATGTTGTTTCTTTGAGTGATGAATGGTTCGTAGAGGATTTGTGAATGCATACTTTCTGTAAAAATCCATAGTCCTATTATAACTAAGTTTATGATAGCCAGGAAGCAAGCGATGATTACGTAGATGAATGACCAACGCTCCAGGTAGGTTTTGTACCCAAGGTCGGATCTGTTTTCCATGTATGTGTGCCAGGCGCCGAGGAATTCTGGGAGTCCCCGAGAAACACGAAAGCTGGCCGTAGCGCCGACTGCACTTTGAAAAAACCAGACATGGCAAACGATTTTGAAGAACAATTCAGTGCCAAAAACATCTGTGTATTCATATACAGCAAAGAAACGGAAGAAGTTCAACCATAAGATGATCATGATAATGACAGAATAAACTGTGGAAGGCGTGATCAGTTTTTTCTCCCCTTTAAACTCCACTGTGTGGAAAATCCCTAAGCATTTCATGGTTGCAAATAGAGGCCTGAAGCATGAATACAGTGAAGTTATGTCATTTTTGAAGTTGGTCCCATAGCTCAGTCGTCTAAGTTTGCTGAGGAAATGGTCCTCGTACAGACTCGTTGCGTCATCGAACTTGATTGAGCTCTTGCGTTCTCTAGTCTTGCCGGAAATATTTTTCGCACTTCCGCCAACAGAGCTTCTGTCACTGCCGTCGCGATTCTTACGTCGCACTGGTGAGCGAATGGATCCTTTGTGATTAGACCGTAGTGATCCATTTGGAAAGGTTAACTGATTCAAAATTGAAGGATTTGTTTCGGAGAAGTCCACATCCGGGCTATCAAGACCAGACGAACTTCCCCGACGGCTCACATCAAGCCTAAGTTTTGTCTCTTGTTGTAAATCCTTTGTTTGTTGCTGTCCTTTATCAGAGGACCTCTGTCGGTAATGGATTGGCTTTATACCGCTGGGGTCACTAGCAACATACTCTTTGATGACTTCATGTTCGGGAACAGGAGTAAGCTCAATAGATTCTTGTTTTACATGATTGGGTTCAGTATTAGTTTCATTGATCGTCTCATATCTTGGTGGAATGGTATCATCTTGACTAATAGGGGAGCTACGATCGCGTTCTAAGCCGTGGATATTTGTTTCTCTGCTTGCTGGCATGCCTTCCTTATTTGATGTTGGATCTATCCGTTGTCCGTTACTTATATCGCTTGTTTCATCCCTATGATTTTCTCGCATTGACGCACTCGGGGAATCTTTTCTGAATGGCACAACAGGTTGTGTCTTTTTGAATACAGCTTTATTGTCTTTGGTTTCATCACTTATAAATGCTTGGTTATCGTTTCCAATTTGAAGGCCAACTTTTCTTTTTGGGCTATGGCCACCATGGAGCTCATTTCTATATAGATCAACAGTTGCACTTGAAGGTCTGTTAACCTGTTCCGTTCCTTTAGCGGCACAATCCGAAGGAGGTGCCATATCGGGACTGTCAGTTTTTTCGCTATTGCTGTTGCTGTTTCAATTCTTTTATATTCTGATGTCGTATTTTGAGTCAACTTTTGAATACTCAAGGACTTAAGACGAAGAAGTATATTTAGAACTTAAAGATAACATGAGATATAACAGGAACCAGTTGGGCTCACGTGTGGTCATTTTAATAAAGTTTATCAAGTTGAAATATTTCAAGAAATCCTCTTTGTCTACAAAAGAAAGCATTATCAAGTTTTAAGTGAAATATAAATAATAGTTTAAGGTTTGTCAGGTAAAAGTGATAACGGCTTGTTACATATATATAGTAGTCACTAAGGTAGGGTTGGAGTATCTTGTCTTGTATACACGAAACAAAATACAGCACATTCTTTGATAAGGTTGACTCAACTTTTCAATTAAAACAAGAGGTAAAACAAATACTGAAACAACAAATTAATCATTTCAGAATGACGAGTAACAATAAACAATCGCTTAACCGAATTTCATGAGTTAATCACGTGGATATCGAAGAATGGAAAAGTCGTCAAAGTGTCCGATAGTTATCACCAAATTTCCACTTGCGCATGTACATTGTAGAAGTGTTGATTTTTATATGGTTGTGTACGCCTTAAAAATGTCCGCGTTGTTTCGTTTAGTACGATTCTGTAACATTTGCCGGGATAATATAACTGGAGTAAAGTTATGATGATACCGGGGAAATATTCACTTGACATTTTTCGTAGACTTCACAGAATTCGAAAACAGAACAATTTTTATTAAAAAAGATTTGCTGGTTGACCAATAGTGGCGGGCCAGTGGTCATCATCCCGCCCATATCCCGGGGCCCTGGTCCAGTGCGAATAACGATTTTGAATATTATCTGTTCTCAATAGGTGGTGATAATAGAAATAACCTAATCTCAGCGGGCAATATTTCACATTATTATATCATTGCTAGAAACTGTGTAATTTGACTGGCTGTTTCTGTTACGCAGTAAACACGATACAAAAATATGCCATATTCCGCAACGAATATGGCATATTCACTTGCGGTGTATGCCAGATTCACCTGCTGTAGATGGCATACACACTAACCGGAAGTACGCAATTGTCAAGTGAAACTTTATAAATTATTATAATGATTACTGAATCAACAGTACTGTGTATCGAATACACCAACGTATGCAGAAGTATCACTCACCAATCTCACGTAATAAACTTACCCAATCAATCCATGATTCATATATTAGTACTCGACGCACTAACAATATTGGTAATCCAGCGTAGTTTTACATTTAGAGTCGATTCTCGCAACCAATCAAACCAAGTCTTTCTGTATCACGTTTTCACCTGCGAAAAATGTCATATCCACCTGCTGTATACGGCATATTTCGCAAGTGAGTATGACATAGTCTGCAGGTGAGTATCGGGTATTCACTGAAATCAATGTATCGCATATTCACTGCGGAATATCGCATACTGACCTGCGGAATATGCCATATACCGCAGGTGAGTATGGCATATTCAACCGTATCACAAATACCCGTAACCATGAATGTATGCCATATTCCGCGTTACAGTTTCAGTAACATGTGGTAAAAAATACCAAGCGTATTTCACAGCTCCCTCAATTTTAGGATAAAAAAAGACGTGTTGCCCTACGGGCTGCGGGCAATACATACTGCAAAAATCATTGAAAGATGAACAGGTATTGCCCTCCATAGAAAGAAATATTTGTTTAATATTGCCTTTTGAAATGAGGTTATTGGGATATTAATCTTTGCTCAGATGTCTATTGACTGCCAAAACTATTTTGTATACGTAAATAATTCTTATTGATTATAATAAAACTAATCAAAGAATAAGTGGACTAATTAAATAATTGTTGTTTTTTAATGTTGACTGCCGGAACAATTTTTTTGTCCAATAAAATTTATAACAATTGCATTTTTGACCAAAACATGTTGATATTGCAGAAGCGATAAGTACCGATCATCAATATTATGCCTTTTTGTACACAATTATCATATATGTCACATTGTTGTAGTGGCTAATGATCTCTTGCAATTACATAAGTGAGAAGTAATCGGAGATTTATCTATCAGAAAAAGTCTTAAAAAACGTGAGTGAGAACTGCACTGGTGCTCCACTCGATTACGCAAATGTCGGAACCTCGAACGTACGATTTTTCTTTTTCTTTATTTCACGCGTTGTAAGCAGAATTCCCACGACATTTTTATCACAATCGTGTGTCAGTGTCATATATTTAAGAAAATGTACATGTTTGCGAAGAAATACCGATTTATTACCTCACAATCCTATCGTAAACAGAATGGGTAAGAAGTGCAGATCTTTAACCGTTTCTGAAGTCCCGTTTACCCCGAGTCTGCAAGTTTGAAGTCTGCATTTTACCGAAAGCTGATTTGCTGTTTACCGAAAACAATAAAGCAATATTCGATAACTTTCGTTGTTGTTCGATACTTTGTCACGTGACCTCGAGTTTTTCAAAATGGTCGCACATCTATTCATGTATTCATGGTTTTAATTCTCACGTGGTTGAAAGTCTCGTGAAGTAACGAAAAATAACGAAAGGAGAGGTATCGATATGGTGAACTTTTTTGACACGCATCTCTCTTAAACTAGTAATCAAAACATTCTGAAAATTTTACACATCGTCAATTTAATTGTCATCTTTTGGATGGTAACATTATAATTTGAAATATATATAAATACTTTCTTCTATATCGTTTTAGAAAACACATCAGACACTCCTTTTGTTATTGGTATCATATGTTCGAAATGAAATGAAACATCTATCCGAACCTCATTGGAACAAAACGACATAAACACAACGTGTTTAGGTCTCTCAATATTGTAATTGTACGAAGGAAAGTTTGATTGATTTAAAAAAAGTATCTTGTTAATGAAATAAAAGGTTTATCTGAATTTTTGACTCTTTTTTTCTTTACTTAACCTGCGATGAAATAACTTATAATATTGATGGAAACGTAACTTGACTTTATTTCCAATACCTCCAAATTTTCTCAATCTTTTCCTCAATTACAATAGGTCGAAAATTGATGATAAATTTGATGAATTTTTGAAAATCGTCATTCCCATGTAATCCAAATCAGAAATCAGGAAATCTTTTCAGTAAAAGATTCAGCAAAAATATTTTTATATAGAAAATTGTATTGTCTACCTTTTTTGTACACTAAGTGTTTAGTTTATTTAATAAATACTAAAGTTACAGCGCTTCAAAGTCATTTTTGAAAATAATTTTTCACCTCCTGTGTTATTTCAATTGGAGAGTTTTTTTGAAAAATAATTTTGACTTAAAAGCCCTATAACTTTGTTGAACCTGAAGAAACATGTAACTCGTATTTTTGCAAGGACTCTGATGGATAGATTTTCTGTCATATGACTTGCGGCAAACCTAACATTTCCCATTGGTTAACACGGGAATGTCGATTTTCAAAAATTCATCAAAGGATAGGTATCGATTTGGAGAACTGAATTCAACAATATTTTTCTCTTAAACCAATCATTGAAAACATTCTGTAAAAAACATGGTATTTTATGTAATGTTGACTGATTGACAACAATTTAATGCGAAAATTATTTAGAAATATTTTATATATTTTTTAGTGCAATTGTTTTTGCTCCTTTCTACCAATTCTTGAGAATGAAATAAAATGTCTTTCCGAACCTTGTTGGAACAAAATAGCATATACAACATGTTTTTAGACCTCTCAATATTAAAGTTATACAAAGGAATTTTTGGTTGATTTTAAAAAAGTATTCAAAAATTTAAAACAAAATCCCCTCAAAATAGATAAAAATCAAAAAAAACTTTTATTTCATTAACAAGATACTTTTTTTAAAATCAACCAAAATTTCATCGAGAGACCTAAACATGTTGTGTTTATGTCGTTTCGTTCCAATGAGGTTCGGAAAGATGTTTCATTTCACTCTGGAAACATGATACCAAGAACAAAACAAGTGTTTGATGTGTTTTTTTAAAACAATATAGATGAAAGTATGTATATCTATTTCAAATTATATTGTTACCATTCAAAAGATGGCCATTAAATAATTGACAATTTGTAAGATTTTCAGAAATTTTTGATGACTGGTTTAAGAGAAACGTGTGTTCAAAAAGCTCGCCATATCGATACCCATTCTTTATCATCAATTTTCGACTTATTGTAATTGAGGAAAAAATGAGAAAATTTGGAGGTATTGGAAATAAAGTAAAATTATCAAAAGTATAAGTATTTTCATCGCAGGTTGAGTAAATAAAAATTCAAACTTGAAGAGGCTTTAACATGTAGTTCAATGGGGGAGCTCAGGTTGCCAAACTTATGGAGGGGTGTAAATAATTTTTGCATTAAATTGTTGCCAATCAGTTAACATTACATATAAGACCGTGTTTTTTACAGAATGTTTTCAATAATTGGTTTAAGAGAAAAACATAGTTGAATTCAGTTCACCATATCGACACCTACCCTTTATCGAATATGTCATTCGATATTTACCGAATATAAATTCAATATACCGTAAGTATACGTGCGTTCAGGAAAACAAATTGATTCGCTGCATCGCATAAATACATGTATGAATATCAAATGTAAATGCCAACAACCTTTGGGTAAAGGTTTGGTAAATTGCTTGTTTTATTTGGTATGTATAGAATATTTAATGTACCGAATAAAGAAACAGTTTAAACACATTAGACATTGCACAAAGTTGTTGTGTGAGATTTTGAATTTGTTGGTATTCATGATGTCACCACACATTTAACATGTTATTGTATACTACATATTTCACAAAGTAGAATGAAAAGATCTCCTAGCTATTGCGATAAACATTTGAGGAATTTTCTTAAAGGCAGAATCTGATCTATAGGGGGTGACAAAATTACAAGCAACATGTATAATTGACCTACCAATCTATTCCTTACAATATCAAATACAATATCTCCCAAAAGATTCACAATATCTTATAAATTGGTGAAGTTATTAATGATTCAAAGTGCAAAAATGAGTGAAAAATGTTTAAATTCTCAAAATAATAAGAATGGTAACCATTCTAATTATTGTAAAAATCTTTAGTTTTCCTCGAATAAAGTATGCACTTTTGTGATTTTTAGAAAATAGACATGACAAGGAATGACATGAGCCAATAATATTCTAAAATTGAAACAATTTTTTGTTTAGCCTGGTCACTATATCTGATTCTCTCTTTAAAGTTTCATACGTTATTTATTTAAATTATGATTTATTTCTCCCTAAATTGATTTACTAAATCAATAACTGGGTAAATAAATACACATACAGGAAAATCCAGATATGTTGTAGGTCATAAAAAGTCACGGATAAAATGCCTGTTTCTTAGCTGGCAAAAAGAAAAAAAGGGGAAATCCTTGAAGTTGTACTCCTGACTTTGTAATTTTGGTCATATTATCACAATAAATAGGTAGCTTACTGTAGTGCATTTACTTTTCTCATAGACTCTGGATCCTCCTTTTTCTTACCATTGGGTTTGAATGCCAGGACTATGTCCCCTTTTCTCATATTAAATATGAATATTGATTTGGCAAATCTAAAAAAATGAACTGAGAGGGATCCCCCTAAATGTGACGTCATCAAAAGTTGTATAGTGGAGCACAGGGAATTTCTGTGGTAAATTATCTGAAAATAAATTCTCAACTTAAATTGAGAATTCTCTGTTGATCCACAAAGTTATTGGACATAGCCTGCCTTCCTAGAAAGGTTTGAGAATTCTGTTCGCCCAAGGAATTGTATTAAAAACCTTTAGAACATTTGCTACGCATCCTTAGAATATGGACGTAGGCGGGAAACTGAACTGTAAATTGTATGTTTCTAAAGTATTGTAACGAAGCATCCATTGGCATACATCCAACCACTACAATTTGTTTTTTAGATGTACGAGTCCAGTTACGAGTAATTGTCAAATTACCACCTCCATAATCTTTTACCAAGTCATCAACTCCTGAACTCCAGGCCAAAAACAATTCAATTTAATATAGGGCCATAGGAAGTAAATACTTTGTTTAACGGCCTGCCAAAGTTCAAGGATACAAGGAAAACCAACACATCGATCATAAAAAGACTCGGACATGTTTGCTAGGAGATGAATATGGTATATGGCTATGGTATCAAATCTTTGCATGGACCCGCATACGGAATGCAAAGTTTAGGAGACAACATCTAAGTTGAATGAAGCAGCCACAATGCATTGAGTCTTGGGCTTAAATTCTTTTCACACATTGCAAAATATTTTCTCTAAAATCACATAAAAGATACAAAATCACTAAAACATATTTTCAATGAAACTTTTTGTAATATTTTCTGAATTTTGAACAATTATGTTTACCCTTAGATCGCCTATGACAGGGTTTAAGGGTTTCATTCACATTGCTAATTGAAATATTATTAGTAATTGGGGATGAGGCTTCATTTTGATAATTGTCTATGGCAGAAAACATATTTTGTGACCTGAATTTAAATTGTCCTGATGATAATCATCATTGTTATGACGTTGGTTCAGTCATTTTAATGAAGGTTTTTGACGTTGGTTAGGCCAATTGCTTTGTTCATTTACATGTATGCCCCAAACTCTGCATCAATAGCACCGTATTCGGTTGCCAGCACTTAGACGACAAATGTCCAGTTTAATTTCGCCACATTTATTTAACACTGGTGATCCACTCGATTACGCTGGCTACCAAAACGAACCGTTTTGGTAACAAAATGTCGGAACGTCGAAGGTACGATTTTTCTTTTTTTCTTATTTCACGCGTTGTAGGCAGAATCCCCACGATGTTTTTTCTCACAAACGTATATCAGTATCATATGTTTTAGAAAATGTTCATGTTTGCGAAAAAATAGCTCAGAAGACAACAGAATCGTCGATTTAATTCCTCACTTAAGTTACATAAACGGTTTTGGTTAAAAGTGCAGATCAAGAGGAGGGAAAGCCCCAGAGTTTCAAGATGACAGACATAATTACCTCTCTTGCTTACCACCTTCGTTCGTTCGAATTTTCATCGGCTAGTTATCAAATACTACACTTCGATGGGATGTTATAATTGATATAGGCATATTCCGTACACCTTTCTTTATCTTGATGTGAAATGAGAAGCTATGATATTGGTTAACACGCCAGAAATGAACATAATATTATTCGAAGCGTATTTCGAAAATTTTGAAACCGCCATTGATGACGTCATTTGTTTGTCGACTTTTGACCAATCAGCGACCGTGTCATCTCAATACAGATTTACATTATAAGCGTATGTCATCTTTGAACCCTGGTGTTTCTCCCCCTCTGGTGCAGATCTTAACTGTTTTTCAAAAAACCGTTTATGTAACTTAAGTGAAAAATTAAATCGACGATTCTGCTGTCTTCTGAACTATTTGTTCGCACATATGTAGATTTTCTTAAACATATGATACTGATACACAAACGTATATAAAAAATGTCGTGGGAATTCTGCCTACAACGTGTGAAATAGGAAAAGAGAAAAATCGTACCTTCGACGTTCCGACATTTTGTTACCAAAACGAACCGTTTCGGTAACCAGCGTAATCGAGTGGATCACCAGTGTTTAAGGAAATGTCTTTATCATAAGTTTGTGTCGTTTCCTGTTTGACGTTTGTATAGTCTTGCTTCAAGTCCCTGGACCCCCTCCCTTATCTACTTTCACAGCACTTGTAAAGTAGATAAGGAGGTAGGGGTCCAGGGTTTTGAAATCCGTTCAGTTGATCTATCTATACGTTCTTGGATTTCAGTATTGTCAATACGGAGTGCCTGCCCTTAGCCGGCTTTTACCAAGGGTGAGCTTTTGTCAAGGGGGAGATTTTTGACAGTTTTAGCTAAAACTCATGCAAAAGTGCCCAGACTTATGAAAAACTGCAGGATTTTAAAATCTACGGGTTACTTACCTGAAGTGCAACAGTTGAAACAGTACCGTTTACAGATTGTTGCATAGCGGATTTAATCAGCATGGTATATAACAGTAATGGAATTTATTTCAGAGGTATCAATAGAACGAAAATGCACAATATTTAAGTCTAAGAAACCAAAGTACTTCACATATATTTGCATACACTGTTCCAATTACCACAAAAACATGTTTTACATTCTGAGAAACACATTTGCGATTCAGAAATGTTCAGTATTTCAAAGTCAATACCACTGTAATTGTATTCATCTAAAGTAATCGTAGAATGTCCAATCTGAAAAATGCCAATGCAACCAAAGAATGATTAATGTCTAAATATATTAATCATACCATACCTTCTGCAACATATAGTAAATGCTTACTTATGATGCAAAGTTTAAAACTCATTCTTAAAATAACTAGGCTAAATGGTAATAATTACCTAAATGGCAATAATGACCTTTTAGTTTAGTTAAGAAAATATTTGGACGCATTACAACTTTAATGTCCCTTTAGATCCCCGGGGATTATTATTTGTTTTCATATTAATGCTATTAAGATTTGATTTTTTCTGACTCAAAAATCATGCTAGCGAGAGAGGATGTAACACATACAATTTACTTCTTATGACCTTACTTGTATTTCTTAGTCAATGTATTCAAAAGGTATGAACTCTTTTGTTTTAAAACTGGTTTTGCTCAATCAAGTCCAATATTTTCTTGCAGAACCAAGGGTGGCCTATATACATGTACCAGCAGAATACTAGCATATATTTCACAAGTTGCATCGAGATAAATTGAAGGGCAGGGAAACCTCTTTGGCAGATTGATTTGACATCTCCTGCAATTCGTTCAGTACATTTGTCCCTCGGTTTATTTGTGGCAAAGGGCTAATGTGTGATAGAAATATTGTTTATTTAAAGGTGGCAGTGTAAGACAATCTCTTCCTATATTATATACACTAACAGACATTGCTGCCATCTTAAATTCTTTATTGGCATGAAACTTTTTGTTTTATGTATATTTCTAGCTATAATGTGTAGTAAAAATCCTCATGAACGAAGAACGAAGATGCTTTATATTTCCAACTGTTCTATTTATATACTATGCTCTTTACCTAAATTGACGCGTATTCATATTGGCACTTTTTCTACATATGCCTTGTTATATCGTGTCTCAGCTCGTGGTTTTGAATTCACTGGTTTTGGACGATGGTAGAGAGGAAGGTTAGATAATGATTCGGATATCGAGGATTTGCTTTTCACCATGGTTGATGTTCTCTCATATTAGCCCTCCATTCTTGTGTTCATGTAATGCTCTTTCGTCTTTGCTCTTCTTTCGCTTGTGCGTTTACATTTAGGCTTCGCATTATATACATTATATTTGTATATTGATAATGAGAATTCGGAACAATGGTTGATGTACCGTGCTCTGTAAGTTGTCACCCTGTATCAAACGAAATCTAGGGGTTAAAGATATCAGTCGATGTCTTGAACAAGATACTGCAAAGGAGTGATATTTAACTGGACTAGTTTAGCATAGAACCGCTGTTTGATGAAATAGTAGAGTTCGTACTCGTGTCTAAGTTTGTCTATGATTTTAATTCTTGCTCTTTTGTCGATTGAGGGCCTCATGTTCTTAGAGGGGCTAACGTTTAGATCCTTCTTCATATCTGAAAAAGAGACAATGATCCATTTATCCGAGTGGTCAAAATAGTTATTCACACTTGAAATGATTCGGCAACTGATTGTTTTTGAGGGAATATATAGGCGGACACAAAAACTCTTATTAAGAATAGCTAGGGAGAATTAAACATGTTAATGCTATAATTATCCAATGACACGTCAAATGGGCAACAATATCGTTCGACCCTTATGTCAATGCCACGTTCATTAAGAAATATAGACCGAAGAGCAGGGGTACTAGTTTCGAATACACCCTGCTGGTCTCTAGTACCCCTGCTCTGAGGTCTATATTACGATTCGAACATGAAAACTCACCAGAATAATGCAAAATCGTCAATTTCGTTGTTATTTCCAATTTTTTCATTTCTACTTCCGGTTGAGCGTTTGGCTGTTCCAATTTTTTTACTTACCTCCTGACCCCGACTAAGTTTTTTATTGACATTTCGGATTATTTTATTGGTTTCACGCATATCTACTACATTGATCGATAATTATTGAAATTAATTCTATATTGTCTAGAAACAAAAAAATCACGGTGGATATTTTACTTCCGGACAATTTGCCATTTTGAATTTTGCAGACGAGAGGGGGATGCGAAAAGAACGGAACGGCCTAAACTGACCAATGAGTGCACTGAACGAAACACTGAGTACAGAGCCGGGGAATTTGATCTCGAATATAACCCAGCTGAAGAATTGACTTTGTTCACAGTTTATAGAAGGCGTGAATACAGTCATGTTCGAATAGACAAACAAGTCACTTTTAAAGGATATGATGAAGTCACCTTAATAAGAAACAAAGTCATCTTCATATTACAATAAATTCACCTTAATAAGAAACACAGTTATCGTCATATAAAATAAAGTCACCTTAATAGCAAACAAAGTCAACTTCAAACATAATAAAGTCACCTTAATAAGAAACACAGTCATCTTCATAAAAAAATAAAGTCACCTTAATAAGAAACACAGTCATCTTCATATAAAATAAAGTCACCTTAATGAGAAACAAGGCATTAACATCAGAAAATGTCATCACTTAGTTGCTCACAATAGTATCAGTTCAATCTAAAGTCATATTTGAATTTTTGAGAACTTGTAAATGATTTAGAAAAAATTGGTCAATTTGAAGCAAGTTGAAAAATACTTTTTTTGACCCCGAGAAGGTCATTGAAGGTAAAATCTCAAATCTCAAGTCAGATTGGAACTTCTGAGAACTTGTAGATGATTTTGAAAAATTGGTCAATTTGAAACAAGTTGAAAAAAGACCTTTTTGACCTTGAGAAGGTCATTGAAAGTCAAATCTTCTTCGTCCTTGAGAATGTCATTGAAGGTCAAATCTATTGTTACGCGGTAAACACGATACAAAAATATGTCATATTCCGCAACGAATATGGCATATTCACTTGCGGTGTATGACAGATTCACCTGCGGTATATGGCATACACACTAACCAATGAGAACGTGATACGGAAGTATGCAATTGTCAAGTGCATCGATTGAACAAACAAGTAAAACGTTATAAATTATTATAATGATTACTGAATCAACAGTACTATGTATCGAATATATTCACTTAGCAGAAGTATCAGTCACCAATATCGTGTAATAAACTTACTCAATCAATCCAGGAATCATGTATTAGTACTCGACGCACTAACGATATTGGTAATCCAGCGTAGTTTTACATTTAGAGTCGATTCTCGCAACCAATCAAATCAAGGCTTTCTGTATCACGTTTTGACCTGCGGTATATGTCATATTCACCTGCAGTATATGGCATATTCCGCAAGTGAGTATGAGATTTTCCGCTGGTGATTATCAGTATTCACTGAAATCAATGAATCGCATATTCACTGCGGAATATCGCATACTCACCTGTGGAATATGCCATATACCGCAGGTGAGTATGGCATTTTCACCCGTATCACAAATACCGCGCAACCATGAATGTATGCCATACCGCGTAACATCTATAGTCAGATTTGAACTTGAAAATTCATAAACGATTTTAAAAAGAAAATTTGAAGCAAGTTCAAAAGTACCCTTTTGACCTTTTTTTTACCTTGATAAGGTCACTGAAGGTCAAAACTCAACTCTAAAGTCAGATTTGATCATGAACTTGTATATGATTTTGAAAAAATGGTCAATTTGAAACAAGTTGAAAAATACCTTTTTTGACATTTTAAAGGTCATTAAAGGTAAAATCTTAAATATAAAGTCAGATTTGAATTTCTGAAGACTTGTAGATGATTTTAAAAAAATGCAGTCAGTCTAGACAGTATTTTTTAAGTTAGTGGAAGTTGTAAGAATTTGCTACAGACGCCAACCACCAACCGCCACCCGCCACCCGCCGATAGCCAACCACCAACACAAAAAGAAGACCAATGGAGACCAACTTTTTGGTTGTGACATAACATTTTTGAACATTTGCTGTTGAAATATATATGTATAAATAAATAAATAAAAAAGTCATCTTCATATGAATAAAGTCACCTTAATAACAAACAAAGTCATCTCCATATTAAATAAAGTCACCTTAATAACAAAGTCATATTCATATACAATAAATTCACCTTTATATACACCATACGCCCCTGCAAAAAACCTGGGTATTATCTTCTCCAATGCTATAAGCGTCAGATTGAACTCCTCGGAGATACCAACAAATTGGTAATGTCTTTCTATGTTTTCTTTGGCCTTTGCAAGACTTTTGTCTTTGTCATATCTAGAATATTCAAAATATCAATTTATGAAATTGAGGTTAATAGAATAGTAATGTAACTTTTTGTCCCATCATAATTATTATCACCTCTCTGTATGTGGCGATTACTGATCCCAATTTAATTGTGAATATTCAAGGCTATTTCTCAAAACTTGTAAATTGCAACTATCAAACACTGTTTTCGAGCTTTTAATTAATATCTTTAACTTTGTTTTTTTTACTTTAAATCAAAATCTTTTAAATTTGACATCTACTTTCGTGTAATCTGTTAACTAACGTGCAAAATTCCTCGTTGCCACAGAAATAAGGAATCATTCCATCTTCTTTGATGCAATGCTTCAGATTCATTTCCATGCACTTTGACAAGCTCTGAAAATAAAGCATATCAGGGTATCTTTAATTCATGTGAATACAAGTACACTAACATCATTGCAATATCATTGTAAAGATGTCAGTGTGGCCTTCATAAAAGGATATCACTTGTTAGACATTTGAAATTTCCAACTGAAGGCCGTAAATGACAAACTTATTAGAGAGGTTAAGCTACACGTATTGAACAAAACTTGAACGTGAACTTCAATGTGCGCGCAGATTTGCAGATAAATGACGTCAGATTTGTTTATTTCCTGTGGGCCAGCGTGAAGTTTGCAGGTTTTTACACGAGATTATCGTATTGGTGCAATTTACAGACGCGTATTCAACAAAACATGAACGTGTACTTCTATGCGCACGCAGGAAAATGACGTCAGATTAATCTACCTTCTACAGGTAAGCGTGAAAGTTACAGGTTTTTACGTGTAGATGAGTGCTTACACGTTGCTCACTACTTGATTGATATTGGCTATGTTCTAGGATGGCCCGGGAGCCCATATTTGATACAGATAATCTTGCTTGTTATATTGGTAAACCCCAATCCTTAATTGAAAATAAGAATACATTTTAATGGGTAAATGACAACTTCAAATGTGATCGTTTTGTTTCATTCCGTACAATATAAATATACGCAAGGCTAATTTGATACCCGGGGCTTAGCACAATATGTTTACTAAACAAAATGAAATGACAACCAGGGCCTACGTTTGCCTTATCACTACAGTTGATTTGCGAACGAGGCATTTTCTTTGTATTACGTCCGCCCTTGATATGAACAAAAAGTGATACTAAAGTAATTGAATTGTGGTTGAATATGAAATAAAGCAAAAATGAAAAACAAATGTGTTTCCATGCAACTAGATTTGATACCAGGCCTAACGGACAAGTGTCCTAAGTGCTAACCATTACACCATAGAGCCATGAACCTTAAACACTGTCACCACATAAATATATCACCACGTCCACTGGTTTGGTTTCAGACGTGTAGCTGAACAGAAAATTCTCTTCAACATGTACTTGAGCGTGGACTTAAGCGTTCAGGTTTACGGTTTGCATTTGAACGTGAAGCTTAACCTCTCTAGATAATGACTGGCAATCGTCTACGTCAGAGGGGGAATAACACCAGGGTTCAAAGATGACATACGCTTATAATGTAAACCTGTATTTTTTATATTTTTTTATTTTAAACTGTAAACCTGTATTGAGATGACATACATCTCTGATTGGTCAAAAGTCGACAAACAAATGATGTCATCAATGGCGGTTTCAAAATTTTCGAAATACGCTTCGAATAATACTATGTTCATTTCTGGCGTGTTAACCAATATCATAGCTTCTCATTTCACATCAAGATAAAGAAAGGTGTAAGGAATATGCCTATATCAATTAAAACATCACATCGAAGTGTAGTATTTGAAAACTAGCCGATGAAAATTCGGACGAACGAAGGTGGTAAGCAAGAGATGCAATTATGTCTGTCATCTTTAAAACTCTGGGACTTTCCCTCCTCTTCGTCTACGTGTACAATAACTTACTATGCGCCTTTCTTCCAAGGGTATAGTATCTTCAAGTATTTTGTGTGGGAAAAAGTACCTGATGTAATAATACAATGACTGCTGGCGTTCTAATGGATCTCTCACCATATTGATATATAGCGGCATTCTCTCCTTATATCTGCGATATACAAAACAAAAGATCTAGAGTCAATATGGAATATATACGAAGTAAAGAATTTAGTCCCAGGCAAGTGGAGATTTTGGTGACATTGGTGGATGGTTGCGAATGACGTCACTTTGCAACTCGTATATACCCTTTTGAGCGAGTCCACTTATTTTCACCATGGTTTAATAAATAATACGAAACTCGCCAGGATGATTATTGTATATATTAAAGGGAAATATTGAAATACATGTAGCTAAAGATGCAATCTTTACAAAAATCATGACTTTTCTCACAAAATGGCGTCAATGAATTTATTTGTCAATTTACAATAATTCCTTTACAAATGTGGTCTTGAAAGACATTCGCTCCATATTAGCGATGCATTATATATCTTATAGTTACAACTCTAGTTACAGCTGTTTTCAATACGTAACCGGTTTAAACATTTATTTCGTTTGACAGAAACTGCCTTTTTAAGTGCATTTTAAATAGAAAATAAAACAATGTCTCCATGATACGACCTTGATGATACCCGTACCTATTAAAATCGACGAAGTAGGTGTGTCTGCGGAAGAGTAAAGGTCCTTTGACATTGTTGATGTGGAAGACATAACCCAATTCCTAGTATCGAAAGAATATGTTGTAAGACAGAGCTTTCTTCTTAGAAAAGGAAGTAATTATATACATGCATGTCTTGTGTACATGTAAGTCTAACAAGTTCCGAGAGAAAAAATCTTAAACTAATATTTTATATATTTAATTTCTCGATTTTGAAACAAGATTAGTCCTATCGATCCCGTTGTATAATATTCCGTTTTTATACGAACATAGATTAAACAGTCAATGCGCTTATTTTTGAAGGAAAAAGGACAAAATATTATTTGAGACATGTTACTCACACACTCAATCAAATATGATAAAAACTCAAATTTGGGTCAATACTCAAGTGAAAATTACTTGCATAGAAAACAGCATTTGAAGTTCAGAGATCAAAAGAAGTGAATTACCACTTTTCACAAAGTGTATGTTTAAATAACTCTTGGACTAAAATATGGCGTATGGTTGAAAATCCTATCAAAAATGAATGGATAATTAATGCAAACAACAATGCCATCTTTCAATGGCATTGCTAAATACTTGAAATATATAAATTGATAGATCGAAAATATTTTTCATGATCTAGTGTCAACTCTGTTGTGATCTGTTTGAGCTGTTTTTGGTGTCAAATGAAAGATCAGGTACTTATTAATCCATTGGAAATACTATGAAGATCAAATGTGAGACTTCATTTACGCATTTTGTTCCTTTAGACTTTGACGAACCAGCCCTTTTGAGGTCTATATTTTGTATTGTGTTTGTAGTGTTATTACCTATCAGTTGAAATACTTCATTCTAACTGCTCAAAGAATGATTCAATAATGTTGACAATAGGCCATGCCAGTTATAATGTTTTCTGAACGGATTTGAACTAATTTCTTGATCACTTCCTATAATGCTGAAATCTATGACAGAATATCGAGTTGGAACCCTATGAGTCAATACTCCTTGATGACGGATGCTCAAACAGAAGTTATGTTCTATACCTACCGAACCAGGAGTTTCAAGGCGTGGATTGTAATTATTTGGCTCGTAAAATGTACTAAAGTTGTTCCGTAGGTCAAGTTTATCAATTATTGACATAAGTGTTGTACAACCAGTCTTTGGGACCATGTTATATATCAGCTTCTCCGTATTTACTTCATTGGAAAATGCGACATTGGTATCATAATCTGCAACAAAGGGATACATAATTAGGAAGAGGTCACTACCGCCTTCACCTTCTATCAGTCCCTGCTACCCAAAATTGAAAGAACAAACACACAAACTTTGTGAAATGGCGAATTCTTAATTAACGTACCAGGCGAGCCATTTCGAATGTAAATGCATGTCGTCACAATAAACAGAACTGCTATTAATCCAAGGACGGAGGTTTTTAGATACATTCTATCCTCCGTTTGTTACAAAGACCATTTATAGCTATGTACAGGCAGTTGCTTGGCAGTTCGTGTATCTTCATCGGCAGAAAATTTCATCAAAATCACCCCTTCTCATCATGTTTACGCATTTCTAAGTTTGTATTGACACATCGAACGTAATACATGCCAGTTATTCTCACTGTTTGAAGTCAAACATGTCTTTCAATTAATTCCCGAGGCTAATGAGTTAATGGTTGCATACTATAACCAGTCGTTAATGAGATGGTAGACAGTATTATTGACTAGCTTCTAGCTTCATTAACATTATACTAGCGATATCATCTTTGAAAAAAATAGTAGGTTAATCCGGTAGCCGACAGCCGCAAGTTACATTTGCGAATACAAGCTAAGACAGACGAATGCAATTACCGACCTATTAATTTGCATAAAAAACTGTCATTTCGAATTTGAAATAAAGAACAACCCGTTAGTCTTCTAGCGTCATTAACATTAAACTGAAAAATTTAATAATATCATCTATGAATAAAATAGTAGGTTAATCCGGTAGCCGATAGTCGCAAGTTCCATTCGCAAATACAAGCTAAGACAGACGAATGCAATTTCAATTTTTCAATTTCAATTATTTTATTTCATAATTCTTATATAATATACACTATAAAAACAAGCCGCTAGACACCCTAGTGGGTATATGTTGCGGTTTAACAGAAATCATTAAAATGACAACTAGACTACATATAAAAGAAAACACTTATATTATGTTACATGTAGGTATATAAAAATGGTATTAACAATTAATCTAAGGATGTACAATGTAAAAATGTTACAAAAATAGGTACCAGTATAAAATCAACAGTATAGTATGAAATTGGTATTATACATTATCGATAGATGAGTAGTTTTTTATATGAAGATTTGAAAATATTTAGAGTGGAGCATTTTTTAATATCATGTGGTAGAGCATTCCAAAGATTAGGACCCAGATAGCGAAGGGAAAGTTTGGAGCATTTAGGGATATGAAAATAATGTAATTGTCTTGTGTAATGATGATGAATATTAATGTTGATATCAAACAAGTCTTGAAATAGATTTTTTGGAAGACTGGGGTGCTTATTAAAGATTTTGTACATGAACTGACCAGTACAATATCTGTTGACATCAAAAATATTTAATATTCTAAGATCTTTAATTGACATAAGTGTTGTACAACCAGTCTTTGGGACCATGTTATTACCAACCAATTACCAACCTTCATTAATTAATTGCATTTTAACCTGTCATTTCGAATTTGAAATAACGAACGACTCGTTAGTCAACTAACAGTCATCAGTGATCGCATGCCACTGTAACGATCGATTATAATAAAACTGCTAGTAGCTGCTTCAAATGGCAGATTAACCCGTTATTGAGGTCAGCGATCGAGTTTGACTCGATAGCTTGCAGCTACCGGGGTGCACGGCAGGTGCTATTCATATTTAAATGAGTTGGCCATCAAATTGCGGTTTACCCGGTGTCCGGCAGTTGCATTCGCGAAAGCTATCAACATGTATCAAAGTGGACAGAGGTGACGCGGCGCAGCCACGCGTAGCTGTTCAAAACGAGGCTGCAACGTGGTTTAGACACAAAATGGCTGCTTTAGAAACCTTTAAATTGGCTACTTTACAAATACTGGATGAGCGTGGTGTAAAAGTGGTTTTGAAAAATAGCAAATTTCTCTTTATGTAGGTAATTTGTGGTTTATGATTCTACATTGATTCTGAAAATACTGGTATCTAGTTTTTCAGCGTTTTGGAAATATTCAGATTTATACCCCCCTTGTTTGATTTTGAGGGGGGTACTAGGAAGGCCATGTAAAATTCCTAGAATTTACAACCAATCATTTTGATATTTACAGGTAATCATGTACTTATCATGTCCTACAAAAGTAATAAGTTTCATCAAAGTTAGTCAACTGGTTGCTATGGAAACGGAGATCATATGTCAAAAAGTACACAATTTCGTCAAAATGTAAGACACCCCATGAGACAAAACACATATTATTTTAATGAAATTGGAAAGAAACACCATAAAAACATTTTAGAAAACTTATTCAGAGTATGTTTGATAATATTAAATCAAGTGCTGTTTTATCTTATCCACACAGTGAAATCTATTGCTCATGATTATAATACAATGCAAATCAATTTAGAAAGGGGAAGTGGCACTTTTCCAAAGAATTCTTAACTTGTGTCCAAATTTTTGAAGAACCAATTGTCCTGTTATTTACAGATATTATTCACATCATTATGTTAGACAATCATGGAAAGTTTCGTCTTTACTGGTTACTATAGTATGCAGATTTATACCCCTTGGTATGATTTTTAATGGAGGTACAATGAAAGCCATCTAAAATTCCTAGAATATACAGCCAATCATCTTGATATTTACAGGTAATCGTCTACATATCATGTCTTACAACATGGCAATTTTCATCAATGTGTATCAATTGGTTGCTATGGAAACATAAATCATTTTTTCAAAAGTACACATTAAGGGAGGTACTATGAAAGCCTTATATAATTCCTAGAATATATAACCAATCATCTTGTTATTGACAGGTAGTTATCTACTCACCATGTTCTTCCACTATGACAAAGTTCATAAATGCGGGGCAAATGGTTGCTATGGTAACAGAAATCATTTGTTAAAAAGTACACATTAGGGCGTACTATGAAAGCCATTTATAATTCCTTAAATATCAAAACAATCATCATGATATTTACAGACAATCTACTACTTATCATGTTCTACCATGATGACAAGTGTGGGTAGAAATCTATTTGTTAAAAAAGTACACATTTCGTAAAATTTTAAGACACACCCTAAGACATTGAAAATCTTCATCAAATTGGGAGGAATTAGCATGAAAACATTTTTAAAAACCTATTTTGACTAGTATTGTCTGATAATATTTAATCAATGGATATTTCATCTGGGCCATTTGATGTACATGTATTGCATTTGCTTATGATAATAAAACTATGCAGAATGCGGTCGTCACATTATGCGTAGGGACATAGTAAATTATGAGCTGATCTCACTTAGTCATCTTTTATATCATTTGCATCAAAATCCTCATTCATAGATCTTTCAATGTCTACTTCTGTCAAAGCATCCGTTGCAATCTTTATGTGACTATATGTCTATGAGATCATCAGGTAGAATGGGTTGGTCTGGCCAATTTGGCTCTATTTTGCCATCAACAAGTTACCACGTCACTTGTAATAAACAAACTAAGAGATATATACAACTATTACACCCAATTAGAAATACTGGAAATGCTTCTTAATGAATTCTAAAAACAATGAACAGTTGAAAAAACCCAGCAGACATAAAGAAGTTGAGAACAACAGCATGTATTACTCTGAAAAACATGTCCGTTGATTACCAGTGATGGCAATAAAGCGTCAACTGTTGTGATTGATGAGATGTGATACGTTTTATGAAATGTTTCCATGCTTATTTCTCCCAAAATGATGAACATATTATGTGCTTTATGTCAAAGGTTGCATGAGTCTTAGATTTTTACGAAAATGTGTACTCTTTTAACAAATGATTTCTGTTACCATAGCAACCAAATTACCAACATTGAAGGCACTTGTTATACTGGTAGGACATGTAAACAGATGATTACCCGTAAATATCAAGATGATTGATTGAATATTCTAGGAATTATACATGGCTTTCATAGTACCCCTTAATGTGCACTTTTTTACAAATTATTTCTGTTACCAGAGCAACCAATTGACAAACATTGATGGCACTTGTCATACTGCTAGGACATGATAAGCAGATGATTACCTGTAAATATCAAGATGATTGATTAAATATTCTGGGAATTATACATAGTACCCCCTTGATGTGCAATTTTTAAGAAGTGATTTCTGTTACCATAACAACCAATTGACCAACATTGATGACACTTGTCATACTGGTAAGACATGATAAGCAGATGATTACCCATAAATATCAAGATGATTAATTGAATATTCTAGGAATTATACATAGTATCTCCTTAATGTATATTTTTTAATAAATTATTTCTGTTACCATAGCTACAAAGTGTTAAACATTAATGAAACTTGTCATAGTGGTAATACATTATAAGTAGATGATTACCTGTAAATATCAAGATGAATGGCTGTATATTCTAGGAATTATAGATGGCTTTCATTGTACCCCCCTTAAAATCATACCAATGGGGTATAAATCTGTTTACCATAGTAACCAGTGATCCAACACTGATGAAATTTTCCATGATAGTCAAACATAATGATGTGAATAATATCTGTTAATTTCAGGACAAATGGTTACTTATTTTCCTCAAAAAGTTGAACACAAATAAAGAATTCTTTGGAAAAGTGCCACATCCCCTTTCTAAATTTATTTGCATTGCCATATAATCATCATCAATAGATTCCTCTATGTGGATAAGATAAAACAGCAGTTGATTTAATATTATCAAATATACTTTGAATAAGTTTTCTAAAATGGTTTCATGGTGATTCCTTCCAATTTCATGAAAATAATATGTGTTTTGTCTCATGGTGTATCTTACATTTTGACGAAAATGTGTACTTTTGAACACATGATCTCCATTTCCATAGCAACCAGTTGATCAACTTTAATGAAACTTGTCATAATGGTAGGACATGATAAGTACATGATTACCTGGAAAAATCAAGATGATTGGCTCTATATTCTAGGAATGATATATGGCTTTCCAAGTACCCCCCTTAAAATTATACCAGGGGGGGGGGGGGTATAAATCTGAATATTTCCAAAACGCTGAAAAACTAGACACCAATGATTTCAGAATCAATGTATAATAATAAACCACAAATAACCTATATGAAGAGAAATTTGCTACTTTTCAAAACCACTTTTATACCACGCTCATCCAGTAAAAGTATGTCTGTGTAAAGCTTCTTGAAAGGACGAGTGTCTTTAAGACCCTTTATTAGCCCCTAAGATATTTAATATAAATTGTACAGGATATCAAAGAAGGGACTTTGTTTGATAACCAGGTTCAAATATTAGGTCATTCTGACATTTATATTTCAAAATATAGGTCATTCTATTAACATATATAAAATGACCCTTTGAAGGAAAAATCACTCGTTTCACATCATTATTCTTACTGTTTGTATTTATTATCAAAATAATCATTATTTACAGTCATTTAAGACTTTTAATTGATTCTCTTGGTTTTATCTCACAAAGCATAATGGGCAACATTCGAAAACACATAAAATATAATAAGTCAAAAAGCAAAAATACTGAATAGTGATCTTCTTTATACTCTATTGAGATCGATTGTCTACATATATTGAGTTTTTTAATTTTCATCACACTGAGAAAGAACAAGGGGCAACATTAAAAAACACATGGAGTAAGTAACAAGTAAAAATGCATATCAATCACTTATATTATTGATCTGCTTTCTTGAGAGCAATTGCTCACATACAGTTTGCATTATTTGGCAGTGAAATACTGAATTTATTATTTCACATAGAATATAACATTTTCTAAAAGGTTACTCTGGACTTAACATAACTGTTGTTTTTCTGTAGATCAGCACATTCATGTGTCTGTTCATTATAATGAGACACTCTATGGGCTATCATCATCTTCTTCAGATGACAACATTTCAGACATATCTTTTGATTTTAAAATGTCAACCTTTGTGCAGTTCTGTTTGCTTTTATACCCCTTGTGCCTACATCCCTACTCCCAACTGGGCATGAACAACCCATCCATTGATTGCATCATTTCTATTACATCCATCTGGATCTGGGTTGTACTCCACTCATGTATAGTGAGATTTAGAGGACACAAACCTATTACTATAAAATGACGCCTGTCACATGAAGATTAAATGATTGTACAACAATCATCTGAATTTTGCATACACATTTATATGAATGTAAAGAAAGGAATTACATGTTATTATGTTGTTTAGAGCCATGGTAAAAATATATGCTTCTCTACATGTCATGCTTCAGTGCAAGCATAAATATTAGTTCATGAAATGATAATATGAAATAAGAATATATACTTTAGTATATAAAACACAATTGTCACAATCATTCTAAGGATTTTCAAAATGGCTGACATCATGTTATTTCATGCTGAAAATTGCATAAAAGTTCTATTTTTGCACAACGCCTGGTCCTAACCTAGATTTTTATATATCTCGAGATGTACCTTAGAAGTACACTATTCTCTCACTACATATTACTTTCTAGGTAAGAACCAGGCGTTATATGAACAAAGCAAGAGTCTATTATCACGACCTTCCTCTCTCTAAAAATAAGTAGGTCAACACAATTGCAAACATAACTAATCTCTACTCAATGACTATTGAAATATGACTGTTTATGTGTACAAAATATTAATCCAATGAGTGTATAGAGTGACACAATTTTTGTCACTGGGCACATGTCTATAACATGACGTATATACACCACGGCAATATATTTATCTTCAAAGTGTGATCACTGTTTGCCTCTTGTTAACCGATTTCGGGTTGTAAGCCAAGCATATAATCTATGCTGTCGACTCGTTGCCATATTGCAGAAAATGACTGCTGCGTTTTCGGCGAGTTCAATTTTTTAAGCAGATTGCGAGGAAAACAAACAAAAGTTTCAATCTTAATTTGAATGAATTCTATATGCGTCAGGCCATTGAATGCCAACGTTAGATAATCGGAGTTGCCTCCATTTTGGCCTGTAACGCGTTGCAGCCTCGTTTTGAACAGCTACGCGTGGTTGCGCCGCGTCACCTCTGTCCACCTTGTTTATAGCTTCTACAAAATAGCTTCGTCATATCTTACTTTGGAAATAACCTATGCGTTCAGGGTACTAATAACAGAGGTAAATAATATTTTGTTTCTATAACTAAACTGGCGCATTGAGTATTGTTTGTATTCAAGATCAGTCTGGAAGAATTACACAACAAATTACTTCGGAAAAAATAAAGATTGTGGATAAAAGTATGTATACGAAAAGCAAAAAAATGAACATGGCTATGTACAGTACTAAGTACCTATAATCTACAAACCTATGCACTATCTAGATAATGTTTCTTCACTAATGAAAACAGCTAACCTACAAGTATCGAGAGGGGTACGTTTCTTAGAGTGGCGGTATGAAAACACCTGAAAGTACGATTGTACGAGTGTGATTGCATTGAACGTAGTTCCAAAATATCTCTCAAAAAGTACAGCCATGGCTCTAAGGTTTATGGTACACTTGCTCATTAATGATCTCAACCTCTATATACTCATAAATGCAGCTTACAAGAATCCAAAAACAGTGTGATGGGTTCAAACAAACGATGTGTAACGCCTTGGTTGTCATAAAAATCTTACATTTTCTTTTCTTCCAAAAGTGTCACATTTTTGATTTGATTTTTTTTAATTGACCATAACAAGAAGAATATTGAATGTTAATTTTATCTCACATAGTCATCCATTGATTGTAGTTTATGTACATGAAAAATGAAGCTGATTACATATGTATTAAAAAAATAATTCCATTTTTGGAGGGTTCTGCTTGAGATTCTGTTAACGTATAATCAAAAGTCTTGCCAAGAGCAAGCACATGAAATTATAAACATGAACTACTTAATCATATTCCTCTAAAAACCTACATCATACGTTTGATTCAAACATGACAACGTACAGCTAAAGTATACAATAGTATATATCACTGTACGTTGTCGATGATTTTCTGATACGATACTTAGAAGAATTCGAAAGTATATGAAGTATGCAGGGGAAAAATTCCAGAAAAGAGGCGATCATAATTTCCCAAAAGTGTCAAATAATTGAACCAATAAGGAGCAAATTAAAGACTATATCAAATTAAATCTACTGGACTTCTTAAACCTCCTCTAAAAGGAAATAATGTTGGTTCCCATAAGGAACATACATTAGTAGATAATGTATTTATAATTAAATACACTCGACTTAAAATCCTCCTTCAATTAGTTTTATCTGAGTAATCATGGAATAAAAACCTTATTCTTCCCTTGAAAGTCTGTATTTCATTCTGCTAGCGCAGCGTGAAATACATCTACCTTCTCGGGAAGAATATTTTCTGTGTTAAACATAATGGAAGTCTCATTGCGCATATCTGATATTGAATATTTTGGCAAATTCTTTTTGCTTGTTTTTGTATTCGATCTCCTTCGTATTTGTAAGACTCGCTGATAATACCATTTGGCTAAGATCGTTCAATGAACACGGTTCATTATATGGTTGAAATAAAATCTTTATCTCTGACATGTATATTTTGTATGAAAATACAAAAACTTGTCCAATAAAATGTTCCCACTCTAGTACTGTTTTAGTAAAACTTTAAATCATCGATTGTTTTAACCATTGCAATTGTTAGGACTATAATAAAGAATATTATACGTAAGATTGCCTTGATGGGGAAGGCCTGTTGAAGTTGAAGTCTGAAATATTTTTTTTAATTTCGCATGACGGAATCCTCGTGATGTTTTAGTATAGAGAGTTCATGCATGATGCAGGAAAATAGTCAACGGGGTCCACGCATTACACTGGTGTTGCTTTTCAGGAAATCGGAACCATTCTCACATAGCAATTGAATGCTGTGGAGATCATTTGCATTGTAATTTATTTGTGGTAGTTATACCATTTTAAATTCATCGATGTTGTGTTATCTGAGTTTTTAGAGATCTACACATTTTATCCCTCATATCCTTGAAGAGGGCAGGTGTATCCATAATCACGATAAACGCCACAAAACTAATAGCTATAACGAGTGAGGAACCGCCTAGAACTACTGCATACTCGGCTTCCTCTGGTGGGAACTCGATCTTCCTGGCGCGCTTGTAGCTTCTTTCTTTGGCAGCTAAAACAAGAACGTTATGGATTTACATGTAACATTTGAAATATTTAAGATATATGCTCATATCAATCTTAATCGCTCTCAAGTGCGATTCACCTTAAGCCTACCTGTATGATCCAGGCCCCGTAGTAAATCTCGAAATCGCAAGCAAGTTTCCGTTGAAAACGTGAGCAAATAAAGTATCACAGGCTGTTGTTTAGGGTCTCGTTATTTGAGTTTGGATTCAGTGATAAAACTCTTTGATGTGAATGTAGAAGCATTTGGGCTGTACACCGTGATTATGAGGTATGTATATCCTAATGCTTGTCTCTATTTTAACTATAAAAGTAATACTCGAACGGTAATTGTTAACGTATATCTTATAAGTATTACTGTGGTGTAATGGTAATGTGTGTTCTTAACCTTTGGTCCGTGTTCCAGGGCTATAAAAGGATCATGACTACGCTCGCGTTTTCAGCGGGAACTTGATCGTTATTTCTAAATCAATGCAAAGCGTAGACCATTCCCGTGTATTTACTACTATGAACACGGGAGCTATCAAGGCCCCGCTGACATCGCGAGCAATGTACCCATGCCTTTTGTCCATGTTCCAGGGCTATAAAAAGGATCATGACTACGCTCGCGTTTTAAGCGGGAACTTGATCGTTATTTCTAAATCAATGCAAAGCGTAGACCATTCCCGTGTATTTATTATGAACACGGGGGCTATCAAGTACATTTGCAGGGCAACGGCATTCTTCAGCTATAACTATATTTTATCATATCTCTAAAGACTCCGCATGAGCTCATTGCTCGCGATGTCAGCGGGAACTTGCTCGAGATTTAGTACTAAAGGAATTGAATTTTTTTAATATTTCCTCCCGTTAGAGCAGTGTTGTTTTAAATGGATTGTAATGGTAGACTTAATATCACTGAACATAGTATTGCTTGTTGAGCATCACACAACATTACCGTAAACAAGCCATGAAAGGATAGGTATCGATATGGAGAACTGAATTCAACAATGTTTTTCTCTTAAACCAATCATTGAAAACATTCTGTAAAAAAACATGGTATTTTATGTAATGTTGAAATATTTTATATAACTGTTTTTGTTAACATTTTTTTTTTTTTTTAGTGCAATTGTTTTTGCTCCTTTCTACCAATTCTTGAGAATGAAATAAAATGTCTTTCCGAACCTTGTTGGAACAAAATAGCATATACAACATGTTTTAGATCTCTCAATATTAAAGTTATATAAAGGAATTTTTGGTTGATTTTAAAAAACTATTCAAAAAATTAAAACAAAATCCCCCAAAATAGATAAATATCAAGAAAAACTTTTCATTTCATTAACAAGATACTTTTTTTAAAATCAACCAAAATTTCTTTTGTACAATTACAATATTGAGAGACCTAAACATGTTGTGTTTATGTCGTTGTGTTCCAATGAGGTTCGGAAAGATTTTTCATTTCACTCTGAAACATGATACCAAGAACAAAACAAGTGTTTGATGTGTTTTTAAAACAATATAGATAAAGTATGTATATCTATTTCAAACTATATTGCTACCATTTAAAAGGTGGCCATTAAATTGACAATTTGTAAGATTTTCAGAAATTTTTGATGACTGGTTTAAGAGAAACGTGTGTTCAAAAAGTTCGCCATATCGATACCCATTCTTTCAGAATATAAAGAACTTCAATAAAGATAAGTACTTTTCATTTTCTTTGTAGGTCCCGTTTGGTTTACATATGGTTATTTATTTACGAACCTTTGCAATATGGAATGGCCATCCACTGTCTCGTGGGGAGGCAGGTGCTCGTTTTGTATTTTGGTCCGTCCTCTCTTCCAGTTAGAGTGTATCCCTCGTGGCATTTGAAATCCACTACAGCATATAGCAATGTCCCAGACGACTTTATTGCTGAAGCCCTAAGGTCTACTGGCCATGGGCCACAATCAGCAAGGGAACAGGGAGTATGTATTGTCCAACCTTCTGAATTAGAACATGATATTGTTTCTGAGTCGTTCCCAGTTCCACCAATGTAGAAGTTTTTGATACATGTATATGTTACAAGATGCAATCCTTCAGAAAAGCTTCGGCTGGTGTTTGCATTTACGTCTTCTGGTGGATTGTTGCAGTTGATTGGATAACAGCGGTCACGCGATGACCACGTGTTATTGACGAGGCATGTACTGTTGTTGCTTACAGCTCCATTTGATAAAGCAGTTCCCGGCTTGCATGTATAGATTGCCTCATCTGTTATTGAGTTATTTATAAGCAAACTGTCTGCATATGGATCTGAAGGATGTGGCCCGCAAAACACATGAGTACAATTCACACGACTGCTCCAAGTTGCATCAGACTGACATATAATTGAATCATTGCTAGAGCCCTGTGTTTGAAACCCACTATGGCATTCATATATGGCTACTGAGTTATACACTGTATCTGCATATGTAACAGTTGAATTTAGATCTATAGGTGGAGGACCACATGATACTGGTACACACTGAATGTCATCACTCCAGGTTCCATTAGACAAACATGTGACAGTTCCTGACGATGAACCACTAGAAAGTGACACGTATCCAATACTACATGAGAAATGAGCTGTGTCGGTGTAAAACATACTGTCAACAGTAACGGTTACATTCTGAGATATGTTTATACCTCCACATAATCCTGGGACACACGGTGTATGTGCTGTCCAATCACCATCACTATTGCATGTGGCATTCTCTTCTATAGTACTGGTGCCATTTAAAATATGACCCTCGAGGCATGTGTATGTAACAACACTTCCAAACCTGTTATCACCAACGGTGGTATTTGCATTATCATCGATCGGTGGTTGTCCACACAAAAGTTTCTCACAAAATGAGTGATTTGTCCAATTCCCATCAAAATCACAAAATATCATTTCCTTCTTAGTGAGGTTACCACCTATAAGGTAGCCAGTGTCACAAGTATAGGTTACGTTCAATCCATAAAGGTTTTCATTTGTTGTCATATTTGAGTGCACATCAATTATTGGCGTTCCACAAGATCTTGGTAAGCACATCGTATGAATGCTCCATCGACCATCTTCTTGACAAGTGATCGTTTCTGAGCTGTTGGTATTTCCTCCAACTAAATATCCAGCGTTGCAAATATATGTTATAGTTGATTCGAACAAGCTATCAGTTGAGACTATTGCTGCGTTCGGGTCACTAATGGGATCCCCGCATGACAAACGCTGACATGGTATATGTGATGTCCAATTTCCATCAGACTGACACGTGATTGTGTCTTGAGATTGATTAAAACCTACAATGAGGTAACCCGGGTGGCAAGTGTATGTTACATTGGATTCAAAAAGATTATTTGACTGTGTCAATGTTGAGAAGTCATCGATTGGAGGTATACCACACGAGATAGGCAAACATACTGTATGATCTGTCCAAGAACCATTTTTTAGGCATGTGATTGTTTCAATCTGACTGGCCATATCTCCTCCAATAAGGTAACCAGTGTTACAGGTGTATGTAACATTAGATTCGTACAAATTGTCACTTGGAGTCATGAGAGAATTCTCATCAATTACTGGACTTCCGCATGTAACTCGCTGGCATCCTATATGATTGGTCCACGTCCCATCTGCTTGGCAACTTATGATTTCCTGTAGATCATCTGTACCGGCAATTAGATAACCATCATTACATGTATAGGTAGTGTTTGATCCATATAAGTTATCACCAGTTGTTAGAACAGCATTGGGGTCGGGTAAAGAAATTCCACATGGTACTTTTTCACAAGAGGTATGACTACTCCAGGTGCCATTTCCTTGACACGTTATATTCTCATACTGGTTTGAAGTATTGCCAATGTAAAAGCCAGTGTTACATGAATAACGTGTAACTGATTCAAACAAGTTGTCACTTGCATACAGTACAGAGTTATAATCTTTAGGTGGAGTCCCACACGAAATACGTTGACAGGGCGTATGGATGCTCCAACTCCCATTTCCTTGGCATGTAATTACATCAAACGTGTAATTAGTCTCGTCTCCTATTCTAAAACCATGGTTACACATGTATGTAACATTAGATCCGTACAGGTTACTATTATTACTCGCTGTTGAAATTGAGTTTGGATCAATTACTGGTAATCCACATGAGATTTTTGTACAAGGTGTATGAATAGACCAGTTGCCGAATGCAGAGCAACTAGTTATTTCATATGTAGCTCCATTAAGAGTCACATAGCCGTATAGACAATCGTACCTCGCTATGCTGAGGTATAACTCAGATGTCCAAGAAACATTGGCCAGGGGGTCATCAACTGGAGTTCCACACGATACTTCTAGACAAGGAGCATGTGGTGACCAGTTGCCATCTGCTCCACAAACGATTGACTCCATTTTGCTTCCATTCCCAAATAGTCGATATCCGAGATTGCATGTGTAGTTTGCAACATCCGAGTACGATGTTGACAGATACGTTATGTTAGCATTAGTATCGGCCGGTGGGATATTACATGGCGTCCGTACACAATGGGTATGATGTGACCAGTCACCTGTGTCTAAACAGGTAATTGTTTCCGTGCTCAGACCATTATATCCAATCCCATATCCATTAACACAATTGTATGTTACATCTGCTTCGAACAAGTAATCCGGATCAGTTGTATTCATTGTGGCGTATGGGTCAAACCATGGTTCACCACACGAAAGTTTATAGCATTGTTGGTGAACAGACCACGTGCCATCTTCTTGACAAATTACGTCCTCACTAACGATCTGATTAATGCCAAGTCTATACCCACTGTGGCATGTGTAGGTTATATTGTCCCCGTACCATCCTGCGATGAAAGAATACGCGGCATTATCATCATCGGCGGGATAGCCACAGTATCTTCTCTCACAGAGAATATGACTTGACCACGTCCTGTTAGCAAGACAATATATATCTTCACTCTGAATATTTAATCCAGACAAACCATAACCAGGATGACAGGTGTACCTCACAATGTCCCCAAATAAATTACCATAAACGGTTATTATTGCATTGGAATCCATATCATATGCACCGGGACAAGATGTCTTTAAACACGGTGTATGCGATCCCCACGTCGCGTTAACATCGCAAGTGATAGTATATGACGTTAAACCACCGTCCCCTCCTGTTAGATACCCGGGTAGACACACAAATCGCACTTTGGAGAAATAATAATCTGCTAGTCCAAATTGTGTTGCATTATTATCGACATCCGGTAGACCACAATGCCAATGGGAGCAATAGATATGGGTCTGCCAGTTTCCGTCGGCCATACAGCGGATTGATTCGAGAAGTATATCAGCGGATCCATTTATTCCATAGCCTACTTTACAAGTGTATGTTAAATGGGCATCGTACAGAGTTAACGCTTCTGGAACATTGCTTATATCAGAAATTGACGTTCCATCAGAGTCCACCGTACTCATATAGTCCAATGGTGGCGGGCCACATGACAGTGGTCCACAGGAGATATAAGGCTCCCAGAGGGACGTATCAAGGCACGAGATGTTAATGGATATTGAACCAAAAGTGCTGTATCCTAAATGACACATATAATTAACTGAACTTCCGTAAGTTGTGTTTGTATAAGTAACCACTGCATTCGAATCAGATGGAGGCGTTCCACAATCCTTCAAGTAACACGGTTTCGGAGACTGCCATACCCCTCCACGGCAACGGATATATTGGAAGTCATTGTTGGATGCGTCAATACGGTAGCCTATGTCACACCTGTATTCGTATGTGTCGGAATATGTGTTCATGGTACTAAACGTCCTTGTGGCATGGGCAACATTTGAAGGCACTCCATTACACTCGTAAACTGGAATACAAAATGATGAATGTACCAAATATGTCTTGTATTTTTAATGCATTAAAGGTAAATTAGATAATTTAACGATAGTCAATTTAACTAGAAAAATAAATATGACATGATTATGTTAAGATGGCTTTATATACACGATGCTTGCTTTTTATGACAATGTGGACAATTTCTACCCTGCGTGCAGAGTCTAGTTAAGCTCTCTTTTAAGAAGTGAAGTCAAACGAATGCAAAGGGTAGACAATTTCACGAATGAACACTGATTTCAATATAAGTTTTTAATTGCAAAATACCTTATGTATTTAATATTTACACATTTACTTGCTACAATTGCGGCTTAAATCATTTAATAAAGGGTGACACAAAAATGACACCCACCTTACGTTGCATGACTTGTTTGTTTATTAACATAGACTTGTCACATTTAAAGGAGACATAATGCGAAAGCACCTTCAAAAATTTGTATGCTCAAGTGTGTAGCTCAAGTGGGTCAAATTTTATAAGCGTTACAATATTTACTCTAAATGTCGTCCATTGCTTTGCAGTGGACGACACATGGATTCTACACAAAAAATGCCACTCAAATTTTGTAACATAACTTTGTAAATACTAATATGACTTTGACTTGTACTTTCAGAGAAATAAGGTCCATTTGATTAACACAAAACAATGTAGTTGTCGTTGATAAAATCATTATAACTTATTTCAAAAATTATTTTACAAAGGTGAGTGTCGTTTTTGTGTAAAATCCAGTTATGCCAGCTCATAAATGTGCACCAAGGTGAGCAAGCCATCTGAAACTTATTGTGGAGTTGCATAATTGAGTGTAGTTTCAATGTGCGAAAAAATTGAATTTCTACATTTAGTAGTTATGGAGATCCACTTTCTGACATGTTATTTATAATGATAATAGAAATACTAAGTCTAGAAATTCAAAGAAATAAAAACATACATGGTATAAAAGTGCAAGACTTAGAAATAAAGTCAGTTCAATATGCTGATGACATCACAGCAACCCTAAGTGATAAAGAGTCAGTGCAAGAAACTATAAATATTTTAGATAGATTTGAAATATGTTCAGGATTAAAACTTAATAAAAGTAAAACAGAATTAATGTGGATTGGACAGTCAAAAAATAACACAGAAACATTTAATGATATACAAAATGTTAGGCAAGCTAAAGCACTGGGATATTGTTTTTCATATGATCAAAATGTTGAGTTAGAATTCAATGTTATAGATAAAATAAGAAAGATAAAGAATAAGCTAAATATGTGGACATACAGAAACTTAAGTTTACAAGGAAGAATACTTTTGATAAAATCTATTGGAATTTCCCAAATAACAAATATATCAGCAATATCAATAATCCCAGAGAAATATATTAAAGAAATTGATGATGTTATATGGAATTTTGTATGGGGAAATAAGACTCCAAAGATTAAGAAAAAAACGTTAATTGGTGAACTTCAAGACGGAGGCCTGAAAATGACAGAATTCCAATTGTTAGACCAGGCGCTTAAAGCAGTTTGGGTTAAAAGATTATCCAACGATGAAGATGGTGCATGGAAAGCAATACCAAGAATGTTACTATCACAATTTGGACAAGATCTCCTTTTTAAGTCTAATTATGATTTTAAACATTTAGATTTAACTAAAATTTATCCATTTTACAAGAATGTTGTAAAAGATTGGAACAAAATAAAGGATAACAGTCAACCAGAAGAAGTAGAGGAAATCCAGGAAGAGATAATATGGAACAATCAAAATATATTAATTGCAAATAAATCAGTTTTTCATAAGGATTGGTACAAACATGGTATTTGTAAAATAAAGCATATTGTGGATGAAAATGGTCAATTTTTACAGAAGAATGTTATACAAGAAAAATATAATTTAAGAATCAAAGATATGGATTTTAATGGCTTAAAATCAGCAATACCTGCGGTTTGGAAAAAAATTTTAAGAGGTCAAATTACAAATATTGCTAGAGTTGAAAGAAAGAGTAATGTCACTGTAGAAAATGTCACATGCAAAAAAGCACATAATGCTTTGATACAAAGTAATTTTGAAATACCTGTTTCACTCGAAAGAGTAAAACAATTTATTGAAGAAGAAGATATTCAATCACATTTTATGTTAGCAAAGAAAATTACTAAAGATCCAAAATTACAAATATTTCAATTTAAAATACTCCATAATATACTTATATGTCAAGATAAATTGTTTAAAATGAAATTAGCTGATACACAAAAATGTTTGTATTGCAATGAAATCCATACCCTGAAACATATGTTTGTTGATTGTAAAAAAGCAAAAGAAATGTGGAGTGAATTTTCTAAATTTGTAATTAATGATAAAGTAAAACTACATGACAAAGATATTTTATATGGTCATAAACCTAAAGACGATGAGCATAATGTAATGAATTTAGCAATCATTATTATGAAATATTGTATATACAAAAGTTTTCTAGAAAAAACAAATGTAACCTTTTATGAGTTCAAATCATATATCAAAGATTATATAGAGAGGTCCACTTTTTTTAATAAGAATGATGAATTAGCAGTCATTTATGAAAAGTTATAAGAATATGTATTGTTTTTATTTTTGTATTAACTTTATATTTTCCATTGACATAATAAAAAAATTATGTGTAACAGTAATAAAAACTAGATTTTGGAAATTGAACGAGTTCAATTTCAGACTCCAGATCTAGACTTTTTTTAGCCGAGTCATCCAGAATAAGCCAAGTCATCCAAAATAAGCTTAGTTATCCAGAAAAAGATGGATGGATGGATGAAAAAGGAAGGAATGATACGATAGAATAGGAAGGAACGATAGGATAGAATAGGAAAGAAGGATAGAATAGAATAGGAAGAAGGGATAGAATAGGAAGGATAGGAAGGAGAGGATACGGAGCAAGGGTAGATAGGAAAGATAGGATAGGATCAGAAAGGAAGGATGAATGCATTTTTCAATATTTTCTTCTCTACTCTTGACTTTCTACCAATATACCATATCAGATCGATTTTTCTTGAAATTTCAAAACGCCATAACTTCCGAACCGGAAGTCGAATCGAAATTTGATTTGCAGATTCGGATTCCTGACAAAATTCTACCCCTAATTCATAACTCATACGTTAAATTTGGCGAATTTTTATTTTGACCTACTTTTCGGACACGTCATAACTTCGGAACCGGAAGTCGAATCGAAATTTGGTTTGCAGATTTGGTTTTCTGAGAAAATTCTATTCTTAATTCATAACTCAAACGTTAAATTTGGAGAACTTTTTATTTTGACCTACTTTTCGGACACCATATCTCAAAAGTGGGTCAAAATACTTTCTGACGGCAAAAGGCTTACGCTATAAGCACACTCTTGGCTACATGTATACACAATTTCGAGGAATATAATTAAAGTGTAGTATCAGAATCGCAAAAATAAGGATAAACTATGAATTTGACCTAGATTTTGACCTAGGGATTTTGGTGTCCAAATTTTGAAATTAGGTAGCCTTCGAGGTTCCCTTCTTTCATAGGCTTTCATTATTTTAAGCTGTAATTAGTCTATATCTTGTATTTTACACTTCAAAAAAATCTTTTTTCCCATTGACATAACATGGGGCACCAAATTTAGCGATTTTTGAGCTTTCAAAATGTCATAACTTCCGAACCAGAAGTCGGATTGAAATTTGGTTTGCAGATTCGGACTCCTGAGAAAATTTTTTACTTAATTCATAATTCAAACGTCAAATTTGGAGAATTTTTCATTTTGACCTACTTTTCGGACACCATATCTCAAAAGTGGGGCAAAATACTTTCTGACGGCAAAAAGCTAACACTATTAGCACACTCTTGGCTACATGTATACAAAATTTCGAAGAATTTAATTAATTTGTAGTGTCAGAATCGCAAAAATAAGAAAAAACTTTGAATTTGACCTTGATTTTGACCTAGGCATTTTGATGTCCAAATTTTAAAGCTAGATAACTTTTGAGGTCCCATTCTTTTAAAAGCTTTCATTATATAGCTGAACTCAGTCTATATTTCGTATTTTTTACTTCAAAAAAATCTTTTTTTCCCATTGACTTAACATGGGTACCAAATTTAGCAATTTTTGAGCTTTGAAAACGCCATAACTTCCGAACCGGAAGTCTGATTTGAATTTGATTTTCAGATTCGGAATCCTGAGAGAATTTCCTATAAGACTAATAACCTGGACATTTGATTCGGAGAACTTTTTTTGGACCTCGTTTTCGGACAATGATATCTCGAAATCGGTTTGAGATATCAAAAAACTAAATCGACCCTAGGTTTCCTACTTTTTTATGAGGAACACAATGAAAAAAACCCGGATCAAAAATATTGAAGGACTACTGAGAAAATCTAAAAAAGTGACAAAGTACTGGATTTGACCTAGTTCTTGACCTTTGACCTAGATAAAAATTTGACCCAATTTCCGAGGAACTAGATACTGAACCTAAATTGACCAAATGATTGACTTTACTGAAGACCTTATGGTTATTGAGAAAACTGGTTTAGAAAAAGAAGAAGAAGAAGAAGAAGAAGAACTAGATTGGAGAAATTGAACAAGTTCAATTCAAGACTCCAGATATAGATTGTTTATCTCAAAACCATTTTGAGATCTGATATTAATGAAAGGGTTGAGATTGTTACAATTTGGTGGCAGCGGTGGGATTTTTTTGAGATTTCAAAAGCCCATAACTTGTAAACCGGAAGTCGGATCTCAATTTTGTTTTCAGATTCGGAATCCTGAGAAAATTTTCTATTAAAACCTTAATTAGAACTTTGATATTAATGAGAAATAAAAAAATATCGGTCCGATTGACATGACATGGGGATATCATCAAATCATTTTTTCAAAATTTCAAAATGTCTTAACTCCTGAACCGGGAGTCGGATCACAATTTCGTTTTCAGATTCAGAATCTTGAGACAATTTCCTATTAAATTAATACCAATTTTAATGGATTTGGAACATTTGAAAAATTCCACCTTTTTTAAAGTCAAATTTCTCAAAATTCTTAAAAGTTACATTAAAAAAAATTAGTTCACTCAAAAGCGCTCTTTCTTAGCTACACGATGAAAAAAAAATTGAGAAAAAATAATTAACCATAACAAAGATAATTGACAATTTGTAGATTTGACCTAGATTTTGACCTTTGACCTAGATAAAAATTTGACCTCATTTCCCAGAAACTAGGTCACATACCCTAACTGACCATGTAAACAGATTTACCCTAAGTCTTCTAGTTATTGAGATATCTTGCTAAGAAAAATAACTAGACATTTAAAATCGCCACGGGGGCGATTTCGTAGAATGCCGTTCCTCGCCGCAGCAGCAAATTCGGTGCACAATTGACCTTTTTCAAGGTCACGCAGAGGTCGAATTCCAAAACCGAAAGCATATTTGATATCATATTTTGCCATATTTTTGAAATTTTGGCACTCAATTTAAAAACCCGTACCCTTATCCTCCCAGACGCGCTTTAAAGCGCTGTCGCGTGCCCCCTATATAGATTAGGAAAGAATTGGAATGAAAATGAAAATCACCCAAATTATAAACCCTAGAGATATGTTGAATGGGAAGAGTAAGGCATGCAAAAAATAACTACAGTGGCTCCTTGAACAGGTAAAACAAGAAATAAGTTTTACGTCATTTTACGGTGAAGGTCAAAGGTCAAGGTCAAAATGTTGACCTAATTTACTCTAGTTTAGTACAGTGTAATACAATGGTACCAATTTCGAATCAATTTGAGCAATTTTAGCAATTTAACCTTTTTGACCTTTTCAAGGTCACCCGGAGGTCAAATTCCAAAACCACAAGCATATTTAGAATCAGGGACATCCATACTTCATACTTGCAAAGAATTGGAATGAAAATCCTAGTTTTCAACTTTGAGGTCATTTGAAGGTCAATGTCAAAGGTCAAGGTCAAAATGGTGACCTAATTTACTCTATCCGAGTACAGTGTAATACAATGGTACCAATTTGGAATCAATTTGAGCGATTTTGATTTTTGAACTTGTTGACCTTTTCAAGGTCACTCAGAGGTCGGATTCCAAAACCGAAAGCATATTTGGAATCAGGGGCTTCTATTCTTTATATCTGCTCAGAATTGGGATCGGATACACAGTTTTCAAATTTTGCCCCACTGGGGTGCCCCATTTTTCAAATTTGGGGCACCCAATTTTAAAACCCGGAATATATGTGAAATGGCAATTGTGAGGGATGGCATATGCAAATTTTGGGTAAAAAATAAAAATGGTTACTCCTTGTACGTGCAAAAATGTAAAAATTTGCGATTTGACCTTGGCTAATTAGGGAGTGGCTAATTAAAAAAATGAAGGCATTTCCCTGTAGCCCAGGAACATGTCAAGGTTGATGGTATATGCTAATTAACTGACATGTCGGTGTGTGCGGAGAAATCTTGCGTGGAATAATAATAATAATAATAAAAATAAGAAAAAGGCGAAAACTATAGAATGCCGTTTCTTCGAAACCGGCATTCTAATAATAATAATAATAAGAATACAGGCAAAAACAATAGACTCCAGATTTTCAATCTGGAGTCTAATAAGAAAACTGACGAAAACAATAGACTCCAGATTTCATCTGGAGTCTAATAAATAGATATGTAACCAAAGATCATATTTAACATATTGTAAAATGTGTAACGAATGAAAAGATGATTGAATGAGTGAATGAATGTATGAATGAGGGATGTATGAATGAGGTTATTCCATAGATGCATACAACTACATATGAAATACACGTAACAAGCACAGTATCCATAAATAATACTGGATCAATAAAAAAAACAACAGTAAATTTGGTAGATAAAAAGATCATAAGAACTTGTTTTGTAGATAAAGCATCATAAGAATAAGCTTTTTGTATTACTTCTTGATATATAACTTATGTTGGCGACAACCTTTAGCCCATCAATTGTAAACACAAAAAATATTTATAGAATGCTGTAGTATGTATATATGAAATAAATGTGTGAATAAAAAAAAAAAAAAAAAAAAAAAAAAAAAAAAAAAAAATTTAGTAGTTATGAAACATCGTGTGGGTGGGCGCATTTTTTTTATTGGGTCACGCGGCAAAATGTGACCTATGACCTTTCATAGTAACCATTCTGTAACATACTTTCGAATATTTTTCATGAATGCTAAACCAAATTTACCGATATATACCCTCTGTAAAGAAATTCAAAATTCAAAATTGTGTATGATATTACTTAACTCTTGGAGGCACATGGTGTAAAAATAGTGAATGACGGTGGAAAAGATTGGTATCGATATGGATAACTGAATTCAACAATGTTTTTCTCTTAAACCGATCATTGAAAACATTCTGTAAAAAACACGGTATTTTATGTAATGTTGACTGATTGACAACAATTTAATGCGAAAATTATTTAGAAATATTTTATATAACTGTTTTTGTTAGCATTTTATGTTTTTTTAGTGCAATTGTTTTTGCTCCTTTCTACCAATTCTTGGGAATGAAATAAAATGTCTTTCCGAATCTTGTTGGAACAAAATAGCATATACAACATGTTTTTAGACCTCTCAATATTATAGTTATACAAAGGAATTTTTGGTTGATTTTAAAAAAGTATTCAAAAAATTAAAACTAAATCCCCCCAAAATAGATAAAAATCAAGATAAACCGTTTATTTCATTAACAAGATACATTTTTAAAATCAACCAAAATTTCCTTTGTACAATTACAATATTGAGAGACCTAAACATGTTGTGTTTATGTCGTTTTGTTCCAATGAGGTTCGGAAAGATGTTTCATTTCACTCTGGAAACATGATACCAAGAACAAAACAAGTGTTTGATGTGTTTTCTAAAACAATATAGATGAAAGTATATATATATATTTCAATTTATATTGTTACCATTCAAAAGATGACCATTAGATTGACACTGTGTAAATTTTTCAGACTTTTTTGATGACTGGTTTAAGAGAAACGTGTGTTCAAAAAGTTCGCCATATCGATACCCATCCTTTGAAAAAATTAGATGAAAATGACCTTTTCCATTAAATTACGTCATAAATAACAATTTGCTATTATACAGCGTATACATTTTCCTCCAAGCCTAACATAAAATTTTCTATATGTTATATTCTTCATACCATTATGAAGCCTGTTCCAAACTGGTCATAACTGGCAGGTTTAAAATAAACATTGACACACTGACAAAAAATTATGGAAGTGCCAAAACCCGCCTACAACATGATTTTTAGACAATTTTACGCCTCAAATAGCAGTCAAATTAGGGATAGGATGTAACCATTTTTCTCAATTAACACGTTTATATATCACATCTGACATAAATTTGGTATACATAAGCTAAATTTAGGATGTATACCATATTTATGTGTCATTGAGAAAGATTACAATTTCCAGTTTATTGTAATATATGTTACCCCTACCCCTAATTTTGAACTGAGAAGAGACCTCCGAATCTGAAGGATATTACCTCAGATTTTATAACAAAGTGATTGTAATTAATCCGAATTTCATTATATAACTGATATTTTTCACAAAGTTTTATTGGATTGAAAACTTTTTAAAATAGAGTATTCTTCTAAACTTAACTAACAATTTAACTTCATGCCTCAGAAGATCCCCTTCTGGAGCATATTGCTGGGTATAGGATTTCTCGAATTTATGACGTCAATTTATTGTAAAAGGTCACACTCTGATTTTGGGAGTTGTTCTGTTCAATCCTTTCTAACTTTCACTAATTTACGAAATTCTATGATAATAAAATTAAATGATAATAACAAAAAATATAAAAGATATGATGGGTAAAAGACATTGCACCCTTTTTCTTTACAGAGGGTAACTTTTTTCATTTCAATTAAATAACCATGAATCTTAGCGAGTCAATCATTTGGATTTAAGTACCACATTTCACTGTACCCGTACCGTACCTCATATATCTCTGAACATAATGGTTAACTGCCCATTCATATAAAATTAAAAGTTCATGTTTCAATTGAGGAAACACCACAAGTAAACATATGTTCCTAGAAAACCTATTTATTTAAATCGCATTAACACAGGTGTTCCACAAGGCTCTATTTTGACGCTGTACTATGTTGATATGCAGAACTACTCAACCCGATAGTCTGATGGTAGAAAAGTTTGTTTTCAGACAAACAATCTTCAATAGCTATGTAACATTAAATATACATATACGATATCTATAAATCACGACCTTAGGAAACTATAGTCATACAAACACCAAAATAAAATCAATTTTGGTAACAATTGAAGCACCTACAAAAACATCATTCATTGATCGGAATCCACGAGTAAATTATCGTACAATTTTATTTCTAGTATACATAGACAGAAATTTACTCACTCTTTTGACACAATATTCTCTTCTTCTCAGAAAACTTTTTATCTTCCCAACCACCTTCTTTTAACATATAGATGACTTTATCAGTTTCTGGCTGCAAATTCTCAGACCAATCGACCCATGTAGATATTGGACTGTAGTCTAACCACATACCATTGTCCCATGTATTCGATTCTGGTGGTTCTATCTTCCCTCCGACGAAAGCATTTCTACCACTAGAAAATAAACAACATACAAATTGACGTACAAAAAGAGTTTAATCCTAAATATAATCATCATGCTGTCTCTTCCATCCAGTTGAATCTAATCAAATGTGTATGTATATCTGAAAATTCGATATACAACAGAGAATGTTCAAGATGAACGTCTTGATGTGTGAAGTCCATACTAGGTATTTAAACTGTGCAAATACAGTAAGTGTGACATTTATTTACTTACTCTAAGACATGCTGTGCAACAAGAGAGTGTTGAGCACTGTGTATGAGAGCCATCTTCCCAAGGCCAGCTGATTCACAATAGACTCTCCCCTCTTCGTACAACAAGTCTTTATCCACAAGGTAGTAATGGACTGAAATATAACATTAATTTCTTACGTTTTGGGTGTTACTCTTGAAAAATGGTATCGATATGGCGAACTGAATTGAACACATGTTTCTCTTGAATTTTTTTTACATATCGTCAATTTAATGAGCAACTTTTGAATGGTAACAATTTAATTTGAAATATATGCCTCTATTGTATTAAAAATACATCAGACACTTCTTTTGTTCTCTGTATCGTATGAATGAAATGAAACATCTATCCGATCCTCATTGGAACAAAACGACATACTGTGCAGTCTCTCAATATTGCAATTGTACAAATGAACGTTTGGTTCATTTAGAAAAGTTTCTTGTTAACGAAATAAAAGGTTTACTTTAATTTTTCTCTATTTTGAGGTTTTGTTTTAATTCTTTGAATACTTTTTGTTAAATGAACCAAATTTTCCTTTGTACAACCATAATATTGAGAGGTCTAAGAAAATGTTGTATGTGCTATTTTGTTCCAACAAGGTTCGAAAAGATCTTTTATTTCATTCTCGAGAATTGGTAGAAGGAACAAAAAACAATTCCATTAAAAAAACAAAAATAAAACAAACAATTTTCGCAATAAATTGATCAGTGACCATTACACAAAAGACAGTGTTTTTACAGAATGTTTTCAATAATTGGATTGAGAGAAAAACAATGTTGAATTCAGTTCGCCATATCGATACCAATCCTTTGGAAAGGCACAGATTATTTATTTTTTTAATTGATTCCAACAACTCTCTGGCTCCAGTTTCAGTTGTTCATACTTGAAAATAAAAGTGCCTAATAAATCATTTGTGAGCTTCCTGGCTATTAATCTGGTGTTAAATACATTTTGCATTCCTTTGACCCAGAACGTCGAAATCTCTGAATTCTCCAGGACAACGATTCTATATACAAGGCTATTTTGCCGTCATTGTTTTAAAGTGCCTTCTTGCTGATTCTTTGAGAAAATGTCAGCGCGATGGGTTTAGATTGATTTATGAATCCAGGTATGATGACCACCAAAATGGGTGCGGGGGTGTTAAACTGTGAAATTGTCTAACCTGTTTAGAGTAAGTTTAGGCTGCCTAGGTTGCGAATGTAACTATCGGTTACCGACTACTGGGTTGTTTGCAATTTGATGGAAAACTCATTTAAATATGAATAGTACCTGCTGCACATCACGACAGCTGCAAGCTATCGCGTCAAACCCAACCGCTTACCTCAATAACGAAGTTAATCTTCCTTTCTAAACAACTAGTAACACTAATGCTAATATATTACCACCTTGCCGGGCCAGTTCTAGGGGTTTTAGTGCTAGTTTAGAAGGCATTCATTTTACTATATCGACCTGAGAAATGTTTGACGTCATAGTGGTGGTCCATATGGACCGGTCTAGAATATATTCTGGACCGGCAATTTCCCCGGGGAATTAGATATCGTTCAATGCGTAAGATTTTCTTGTTGTTTCAGTCCTGGTCGTTAACGGTGGTAATAATACTAATAACGTCATTTCTGCGAGCAATATATACAGAATATCACATCATTTTGAGTGATATCATTTTTATCGCCGAGTTGATATCAAATATCAACACGAGTGAGCGAAGCGAATGAGTGTTGATATTTGATATCTACGAGGCGATAAAATGATATCACGAGAAATTATGTGATATTGGGTTTATCCCATGATTCGTCATAAATACAATTTTTTAATCGTTATTTAGCAGCCTTCTAATCAAATTATGAAACTTAAAGAGAATTAATTAACGGACCTATTTTCTCAAAAGAGAATAAATTATCTGACCTAATTTCCAACAATATTGTGGCGCGAAATGCAAATGCAAATGTGATATCACACGGATATGCGTGAGATAAACGATATCACACGCATATGAGTTTGATAAACGATTTTCTGGAAAATATCACACGGATTTCAATGATATCAGAAATATCAATAGCTGTTATTGTACAGATAACACATTAATCGTGGGATAAAGTGAAATATTGGACCTTGGGCCTTCGGCCCTCGGTCCAATATTTCACTATATTGCCCTTAGAAATGACGTTATTGTACTATTCAACCGAGCAGCTTTATTATAATCGATCCTTACATTAGCATAAAAAGTCACGTTCGTCGACTAACGGATTGTTCGTACTTTCAACTTTAAGACGGCGAGTTTATTATACATGCAAATAACTTTTTTTCATGTTATCAATTTATTTCTAATATAAACAATTACAATCGATTTCAAGGTTTTACAACATTAGCGGCAATTTAATAAATATATGTTTGCAAATATTAGATATACAATAAAAAGGTTGTTATGAGTATTGGCTATTAATTTCGAATTTTTTCTTCAACATGTATTGTAATGACTTCAGTATGAATAAATGTCCCTTGGTGTTCTGGTCTTTGATTGCGATATCGGTTCTTGAATGGTGGGGGAAAGGGGGTATTAAACACTGTTCCTTTTCACTTTAGATCATGGTTTTGGGATATATGGGGTTTGTTTTTCTTGACTGGTATGCTCTTTGAGTTTTCTTTTTCTTGCTAAGTTCCATTACAACTTTTGGTCCTTTCACCTTGGCACTTGTGCTTAGATATTTGTTTGGGTTTTTATATTCCAAAATCCCCGAAGGTTATCCCATGGGCCAGGATGTTAACAAAAATTGAAGAAGATGTTGATCAATGCAGAAAAAACTTGTTTGATAACTACAAGATAGATAATAAATCAAGACCTGTATGTATATAGTAGCTAGCAATATAGCAATAGCAATATCTCTTTGGTCACTTAAATGACGTACAGGCATGCGCGTATTTCGGTCAAGCCAAGTAACTTAGTCAACATTCGATATTCGTATGTTCATCAATATTAACTAAGAATGGTGCCACAATTGAAGTAAAGCTCTGTTAAATTATTTTCAATAAACCTTTCAGCAAACGTGTAAATGATTATTTTGATGTTCTGTTACATATTGGTGAAGCAATCGTGGGGATATGGCCTAAATTTCTGGATTTCTACTATGTCCCTGTATAACCCTACTTCAAAAGATGTATGTTATTTGTCATTTTTCATTATGAATCAACCATAAATGTATTTTTTCTTGTCTACATACAGAATGAACTTTCTGTTTTCAAATATTGAAAGATGGTACTACTTTTATTTTTTCATGATATGGAGCAAACAAATGCGTGTCAATTTATACTGTAATATCCCACATACTTATATTTCAAGGGTTGTTTTGAAGAATAATCAAGAAAATCAATGTTTTCAAATGAATTCATTCTTGTCAAAGAACGTTAATGAGGATATGTGGTTTGAAAAACGAACAACATGTTTTAAGTTCTTACAATTCTTGGTTGAAACAAATATTTCGAAAGTTGTGATTTCGAATGTAATATCCAACTCAATGAAGTTTGTTGATATTTGTGAGTTTTTTCTTTCGGAATGCACATTGCTGGATCGCAGAACCTTGCCTTGTTCGTGATGCACGAAAAGTGTATTGTTAATACTTGACGTCGTTTGGATATTTGGATGTGATTGACGTTTTCGTTAATCTCCAACCACTGTCACTTCCAACTTAATTTTTGAAAGCCAAATATGACAGTCACGAATTGATATTTAAGTCACACGTTGATGCATACATCACGTGTGTACATTAACGGTCGAATACATGTCGACTTATATTTTACATAAATATCCACAGTTAACTCAAATCATCAATTCTCTAAACGGTTTATCATATTACCTGGTGAGTTTAATGTTACATTTTGATTTATAATTATGGTATCAGATTTGAGTATGATATTAGTCGAGGCTTAAACAAAGCAATAAAATTGCATGAAACCTTTTGTGAAAATTCGAACGATTTTTCAAGAATCCTCCTTCAAAGTGTTACCAAAGTGCTCCCCGGGAGTGGAAATTTCGTCTTGTGTAATCAAAATAATAGCGGGTGGTTTGAATTTTTGTTTGAGTTAAGAGCTTACATCTATATATTTAAAAACATATCGCCTCATTGAGAGGTACATGCAGATTTTGGCGATCTATCATTATAAAAGGCTAAATATTGTGCAAAAACAGGAGTTGACACGCTTACATTTGGAAATGAAATTTCCTACATAATTGCCGACTCATGTTTAAAAGTCATGAAAACAAGGTTGAACACAAAACATTGACCCAGTTACTATCTATTTAGCATGGGATCACTAAGGGAAATATTATTAATGACTTAAATCGTTCACGGTTAAGTTGTATTCCAAGAAACGTATCAATTTAGAAATGCAAAATGTTCAATTTTGTTTTTCAATTATAAAAAATCGCACCTGTAGAGAACAACGTTAACAAAATTATTTAAAACGGAGATATTTACTTATGTAACATTCATTGGCATGTGTCAGGGTGTAAATAAGAAGAATATACATTTGATCCTATATCTTGTTCCCAAAGGAGTTTGTTAAGGAGCGGTATATCTTAACGTACTTTTATCATCCCGAACTCAAACATTTCGAATACTTATTTTGAGAACGCTTTGTTAAGAATGGATTCGAGATGTACTCAAAATTAATACTTTAAAATGTGTATTATCATCTTAATAACTACCTCATAAATTATTTTGGAAATCAAAGATGTACGATTTTTGAGTTTTTTATTTTCGAATGTTGACTTAGTTACCTGGCTTGACTGATTTACGGAGTAAATCACAGGTGGATTGATATTATTACTACATATAAAAATGAAAATTTTTAGGTGTTCGACTCTTCTATCGGATAAGGGCTTCCAATTCAAAGAATTTAAGACTTTAATAGTATTGGAGCCATAAATAGCCCCAGATACAAGGCAAGTTGCTTGGTAGTGGAGTCTGTCAAGAAGTTGTAGTGTCAGATTGGAAGCTCTGTTGTAAATTATATCACAATAATCAAAATGAGGCATGATACACGTATTGTATATTATCTCTAAGTGCCTAGTATATATGAAATAACTGCTTGAAATACGTGAAACTTGCCTGGTTACGATAA